TAAGAGGAGAAAAAAAGAAGAGCGATCGGCAAAAAAAATTTGAACGATGACAATCGGATGTATTTTCCAGATAATCTGCGGTGATGTACGCAATCTTCTGGGGAATAGTATTCGTTTATAATGTAAAGGATATCGTCCAAACCGATTGTTAACAACAACATGTTATAGTGTGGATTACAATATCTCACGTAGAATCTAGTCATCCTCATTTCTAAAAGTTTTTGCTAAGAAAAATTCAAATGCTTCTTCAAGACTCGGCTTGAGTGTGTCTTTCATTAATCCAGATCATTCCTCACTTCATAAACACGAACAAATTTTGATGTTTCTCTTTCTTATCTCGTTCGACTTAGATAAACAGAGATGTTTCTATGTCTCGTTTTCGATGTTTCCAAAATCCACTCGTGATTCCGTCTACAACTTGCTTATTTAATACATATTTCTAAAGTTTAAGTGCCTTGCTTGACTGGTATTTCAATGTTTTTTTCCATCACATAGCTCTCACCATGTGTTTGATGAGAAGTTGATAACTTTGTTTTGATATTGACTGTAGAGCCATTTGCATCAAAAACTGATGCTAGCTCAAAATGATGCAAAGCTGTGACGACACTCTTTCTTCCCTCACTTCATAACAGATTCACGAACCAGTCTTTCAACATGCAGAGTCAGGAATATAATTCAGTTTTGTAGGCAGTAACTAGCCCCTTCAGCCATACAATGTACGGTCGAATGGGTTGCCTACTAATGTGTGCAATTGCACATTGTCCATATTCTTTGTTTTAGCGCAGAAATAGATATATGGGATATAATCACTTACCTTTTTCAAAATACTATTGTGCCTGAAGAGGAAATTCGACGCAAGAAAACTTCTAAGCTTTATAAATCAACTTCATCGTGAGAATAGTGCAACTGCACACATTGGCAAGTGAGCTTCGGCAGTGTTTACTACTCTGTAGTACCCAAGAGAGATTTGCGACGGTTTCGATGTGAAAATGCGTAAAGAAAACCTGTCGTAATATTTTTGTTGAAAGATAGATTTTTGTACTCATTTTCCTTTTTAGTGGCATTTTGAGCGTTTGTAATTTGCGCTCCTTTCTATATACTTACAAAATATCTGCGAAGTACGATAAAGTCTCTATACAGTTCATATAACTGATGTAAAAATAGATGGCTTGTAATTCTTCTCATAACAAGTTGAACGTTTGCTGGAGTGACGTTTCGAGATCTCACTCTAATAAGTAATCGTTTGCATTACGTTGAAACGAATCTTAAAAAAACTCCTCTAAAAAAAGTTAAACATACTCATTTTTACGTATTGGTTGTCGCGGCTCGCGCGATGCAAGCCACTCCTCGAAAGAGGAGGCAGGGAGCGCTGGCTGTCGCGTTACTTGGCGCGCTATCGATACCGCGCCAAGACCTCTCCTGCTGGGCGCGTTGCCAAGTCTTAGGGTATATAAGGGCGCGCAGGCTGCGGTCTACGCCTCCTCGAGCTTCGTTCGTTATTGGTTTTTGATGATATCAACCCGCTGGCAGCGCCTCCAGTAGCTCCCGCAGATGATCGACGGTTTCGAGCGGTAGAGCCTTTGATGATCTTCTTGTGTATGGAGACGCGCAGCTTAGTATTGTAGTCTGACGAGCAGTACGAAAGGGTTGCGGAAGTGGAGAGGGGCCACACTGTCCCGAAACTAAGGGATTGCGGTTGACCCATCGGAGAAGCCGGAACTACTTGTTGGAGTTGATCACCACCTGGCATCGGCAGCACGGAGCGAGTCGGCTTGTCCCGTGCCTATTCTTCTGAGTCCTAGAGTAGTAGTTTTAGTAGTCCTAGTATTTTTAGCTGTTTTAGTAGTTTTTCTGTAACTTGTTATTTAGTGGGTGTATAGATAAATGTAGTCTGAACTAGTCGCGCGTATGCTATTTGCATCGTCCGGGTGTGGGGGTGTTGGCGTCGTGCAGACGCGCTAGGTGTGCGCACACTAGCGCCGAAGCGGTATGTCCTGGAGTAGGGAGTTGTGTCGTCTGGCGAACGAGCACTGGGCGAGGTGCTGAGCACACCGAGCCGGTAAAAACATTGGCAAAGTCCGTCCCCTGTCATATACTCTACTCTGAACAAAGTCAAATGTAACTTTTTAGTGAGGTAACGGAACCGCACGAATTTTCCCAACAGATAGAGAAGGTTATAAAACTAACCGATACTAGAACTAGGTCATGTTCTCCTTCTGCTCTGCTAGAAAAGTACGATTTTCGCTCTCTCTGTAGCATACCTCAATCTTTGAGCTTTTTGCAAAGATGGGAAGATTGAAAAGTTCCAGAAACTTTAGTGCTAAAGTGTCGCAGTCTGATACGTAACTCCTTGGACCCGTCTTCCTCACTGTCTATAATGACCACTTTCATCATGTGTCATCTTTTTGTAGGCGTTTTCTCCAGGAAGAACAAGCTTCACTCGTTGACAGAGTTAATTTTTCACGACTTTCAAACAACCCTTGATAAATTTCCCGACATGCCCGCAAAGTAAATTCCCATAAATGACTCGACCCCGGTTACGCAACGACGTTCCGAGGGGAGTCGCGGCTGGTCACTGGCTGCGTTCCATGCGCGACTGGGTGCCTACGCCTATTGCGCGAGTGCAGCCGGCTCGGTCGTAAATCTCGTATCTCTCCTACTTTGGCCATGTTCTTCGCCTGTCGCTTCTGTCACGTACAACATGATTTCGGGTAAACGAGTTCCCTAATGCTCATCTTATCATCTATTGATTGTTATATGTGATTTGATTGCTTGCATTTTATCGTCTTCTTCGTCGTTTTATAATCTCCAATGTGCGCTAACGGGTTTTTCAATGATTCTAATATGCTTGCTTCGCTACATGCTACATGGTAGTGATTTCTGTGGCAGAATTCACAGCATTAATTGAATGAGCCATATGTTTAAGGGTCGCCTACATTGATTACATGAAAATACGGTAGTATTTTGACTTTCTTCACATTCTTCGAATGTGTTTGCCGGAGTCACGATTATCTTCACTACCAAATCCCAAGCTTATCCCGCTTGCCGGCAAATATTCAGTTAGCCCGAAACTTCTGTCGCAACATTTATAAATTCATAACTTCCTTCCTTCTAAACCGATTTGCACATGTTTACTCCTTTTCATTTTTTCTAACAGTGTTCGTAGTACTTTTTGATAAAAGTCCAGGAGATCAAAGCCGGCGAAGATTACTTAAGTTTTGATTTTCCTGTGTTTGGTCGTAAATCTGGAACTTCCAAGGTTTTTTGCCCTGCCTTTTCTAACTGAACAAAATCTGTGCTGATTAGGCAGGCGCTATACTCCTCGAGGAGTATAGCTTGGCGACGGGCGATACTGTGTATTCTATGCGTATCGATCGCTAACAAGTTACCACACGTCCAGTCGATACAGATTTAATGTGTAGCCGCCAACACTGGCGACTGGCGATCGCCCGTCGCCATGCTATACTCCTCGAGGAGTATAGCGCCTGCCTTAGGTGCCTCTGCGAAAAATTGCTATTTTTGAGCTAATAGTTTAAAAGTGCAAATTTTCTTTTTTGGCACTTTTCTAGAAAATCATAACATTTCGCACAAGCGCAATCATGCTCACTTAAAAAAAAGCAGCGCAGGAAACCATAATACTGACTGCTCCGATTTTTTTGAATATTTGAATTTGAATGTAAGCATCTCGTTTAAAGAGTTACTATCCTTAATTTCTGTAGGGTGTTCAGCATGTCACAATTTCGTTTCATTACTGTTTTTGTCTGTCGTTTCATTGTGTCTTTGTACTGGCGCACTGTGTACAAACAAAGTATCAATCAATCAATCAATCAATCAATCAATCAATCAATCAATCAATCAATCAATCAATAAATAAACAGGTAAGTAAATAAATAGATAAATAAATAAATAAATAAATAAATAAATAAATAAATGTTACGCTTCAAATCATCAATACTCCAGTCTTGATTATTATAATGCCATATAACATCATATAATATTGAAATATTAACCGTAGTCCTCATTTTTGAAGAATAATTCGGTTATTTGTTTCTGTATAAGATCGATTGCATTATATAGCGTCCTGATTTCTCCTTCAAATGAGCGGTTTTTATGGTTTTATGGTCAGAGTAAAGTTACTAGCTTTCTTGTTTTTGTATGGCACACTTAAATCTTAAAGTTGCGCCAACTTAAATTTGAATGCTTTTCTTTTATCTGACTTTTCTGAATGAAAACAAAGCAACAACAAAACAGTGGTGATTTATAAAATTTGTACGACTTGATGTGAATGACTGAGGAATTTTCGCTAGTGGGCCCAAATAAGTCTTTCTAACTTCGAAACGAAATACATGAATATCTTGCTTTTGTTTGAAGATAACTAGAATGATTCTTGAGACTATTCAGAATCAAGCAGCTTTGTTAAAGTTAGAGCTCGGTAAAAATCTCTGGAGTTCGCGCAACTTCTTCCGGAAGATGTTAGAGGGGATTCTGAAAGCTCTCCATAATACGAAAGCTCAAGATTTGCAATCTCGATAAGAAGCGGTAGATCCTCACTCAAGCCCAATGTCTTTTTGCATAGCTGATTTATTTTCATAGAGTTTCGAAGTGGATTCGATTGTTTACTATCGAAATAGAGTACTTGCACAATTAGCTTATGTAAACTTTTACGCCCACCACTCTCCTGCTCGTCACTGGTAGATAATTATCGGAGCCACAGGCTTTGAACACCTTGTTATTGCAAATCTTTCCCGAAGCCAGATAAACACAAAAGCGTGGCTAATTTGCGTAATATATGTCCTTTGTCTTAATGACTATGTTTTGTTATCACATTGGAAAGAAAGCTATCCCTCGCATATCTTTATAAGGAAACTCTTGCTCATTCGTTGTTTATTGCTGGCCTAGAAATGTGTGAATATCATATTTTTCCCACTGCATATAACTTTCATTGACTAAGTCGACTTTTCGTGTTCTATTGTCACTAGTGCTCCAACATCTTCAATGCTTTAGATCTGGCAAAACTTGGGATCGCTGAACCAGATGAATATAACCAAACACCGGGGAAAGGTGCTAAAACAAGTATTCTCGCTACCAGGTACCTTTATTTTTTGCTCTTTTTTCTATATGTTTCACGATGCTTAATATTTTTTTGCTCAAATTTATAATATGTTAAATTTTGCAATATTCTATTAGTAGTTGACTGTTCAAACACTCTCACTGTTCAAACACTCTCACTGTGTATTGCATATTTTATTCCACTTTCATGATTATTGAACGACAACACTTACCTTGTAAAATATTATGCAATATTTCAAAATATCCAAATAGTTGAACTTTTTTGACCCACACAATTTCTCTGTCAAAGCTGGCAACGTCTTAGGAGTAACTTTTCTGAAAGTATCGGCTTTTGAAGTAATGGAAAATTACTTTTATCATGTAAGAACTCATTCTAAAGAAACCCTTTCATGTAATTTGGAAAGAACTTGGCGCAATTTACTGTCTCAATCGCACGAAACAATGATCGCAAGGTCGAATCACTGATGTGGAACAATTTATTGTGCGATGGTTTTTGTTATAATGCGCCACCACCAATTTATGCTCAGCTATCTCATGAAAAAGAAAACCGGTCAATTTGAATATCACTTACTTGCGGCAAATTAAAGACAGCTCAGTTACCCCAGGATCTGGAACTTTTCCGGCAATATATCGGTTCAAAAAAAACTTGAAATGGTCAATTGTTAAACTCAACAGCTTTCAAACTTATTCATTTTTCTGGCATTTGCAAGTGACAAGTTCAAAAAATTCTTTGCGTCGTCTCAAGCTTAGACTTTGAAGTTCTTCTTGCAAACAACATCATTTTCATGATACTCAGAATTATCTGTTGTACATGTTCCAAGGTGTTGCTCGCGCTGAATCTGCCAGAACATGGGTCACCATAGTCAACCGCATTTTCTTTTACCTCCAGCTAATCTTTATGGTACTGATTCAGCGGCCTCAATGCCCTATCTTCTGCCCTCGAACCTGCATGCTCCTTTTTGCTATTTCTATCCGTGAACTACGGGTGTATGCCAAGATGAACGATAGCTGGCAATAAGCATACTGTACTCCTATGTTTGTCAATATGTCGCACATAAAGTCTTATTTTACGAAAAAAAACGTACAGAATGGCCACCGTAACCTTACCGTATAAGGCCAAAAATTGAATCAAATCATTTTTGAAAAGCAGCACCTTCGATAACCTCTCTGGAGAAATTCTGGGGGACATGTTTTGAGTTTTTTTTTGATATTACCACTTCGGACAATACGACCCACGGGTGGGTCTAAGTTTGACGAAGCGAAAAAGGTTCTTTGTCCGAAACGGCAGTAAGTGGAATGTCGGCCTTGTTGCGAATGTGTTAAATCGGCTTCTCTGTACCAAATCAACTTTGTCACTGACCGGCAGAATGCGTATCAATTGTGGCGCTCATTAAATGGCTAAATTTGTGTTCCTTATCACGGGTTGATTTAGCAGGACCACTTTGCTTAGTAGGAGCGCAACAATGCATGTACATCATGGGTATTGTGAAAAGATTATTGCTTACTGAAGCTCATTTTGTTCAGGCTCCATTGACCGATCCGGAAGTGCCATAGTGGCCATTACTCCTCCAGCTAATGATGCCACGAGTAATGTTCACAGTGAGGAAATCGTGTTGAACCAGGACCCACAGTTGATGTTTACCCTTTCAGGGTCGTCGTTGACCGACATCAACGGGGTTCTCTTGCACTATGAAGATCTCGTTTCCGTGCTTGGCTATTTTTCCGAAATAATTGGTGACTATGCCGCCGAGAAAGGCCTCTGCATACTGATTGACGGAAGAAGAATGCCTCCAAAGGCGTTGAAAAACGTACTCAGAGCAGCTCAGGTAGATTTTCTTTTAACACTTTTTCAGATCTCTAAAAAATACATTTTTGTACCTTTCTATCTCCTTCATCTGATATTGCGAAAACGAAATCGAGTACTTTTCCTTCGAGTCATGCTGTCCTCGTGAATCTGCCACACAAAAATATTTTTCAATTTCACACACACCCAGTCATAAATTTTTTTAACCCATTTCTCCAAAATATTCTATTTAGCTATTTCTCCATGCGACCACCCCACTTTCCTATAGTTTGCTCCTTATCAGTGTGCAAGCAAAACACTCTCTATCCTTTTTTTAACGAAATAGTGTACATTTTATCGCCCAGTTCTCCTTTCTATCTACACGACACTAAAATCATTGTGAGCATGTGTAGTAGCGTAACATCAGAATTTGCACTTTTAGTTATTCCTACACATCGCCATCTGCACCATACAGCCTCTATGAGCTTCAAATGTAATAGAAAGTTGTAAACGTTGCAAAGCTCGTAGCTCTTGGAAATAAATGTCTTGCCATTTATCAGGAAATTAGCAGGCTGTTAGTGAGTTACACTGGGATTGAGCGAGGATAACCTTAGACTTTCACATGTTAGAAACATTTTAGTTGTAAGGTGTACTACTTTATCAGGAATTTGAAATAAATTTGAACCGTTTTATACCATCTTACTCACAAACGCTTCATGCTTCGCAATTACATAAAAGGTGGACATTGGATTTTTTAAGAAAAGGACTTGGAATAAGCTAAATAAATTTTTGTACTGAGGAAAACATTTACGAATCTAGAATCGCCTGCAAGTTGGTTAATTTTTCCTAGAATTCAATCATATATACAAAACATCAAGTATGTACTCCTTGGGACATCGCCACATTTTCAAAATTATTATCCCTTGTTACTTAATTCACTCATCCATGGCTTGCATTATGTTTGTCCAAGGGGACTCTATCCGTTATACAATGTCAGAGATTGACGGTTGCAGTGCTTTTTGAGCGAGTAACTTTTTTGCGAATGTGCAATAGAATGTGCTACAAGAGTTCGAAAGAGTAGAAGAGTGAGTTTGCTAACAAGGGAACGATACTCAATGTCCGTGGCCTTTTGAGACGAGATGTATACCATCACTCTCGCCTTTGAATGCTGATTCCGAATCTGACTTCCGTTTCTGCTAATCGTTTCTCTGAAGGAAGTTATGGAGGAATTTCGAGCCAACTTTGTCCGCCCAGAGGTATGGTCACCAGAACGCCTCTACCGGCGCCATGTTATTGTCTAGTGGTTAGTGTGATAGCCTCATAACTTGATACAGGTGTAGGCTCAAATTACCTTGTGTTTTTATTTAGCACTACCTTAATTGAAGTTGTTCGAGATTCATTCGAATTTTGGTCATTGAATACATTTTAGCGCAAATAGTAAGCTTTTTCCAAATTTCCACATTTTTTGAAGAGTAAGGGCGTTCAATTAGCTCGAAGATGCGAAAGAAGGTTTATTGAGTCAATGCAAAACTGAAAAACACAAAAGGATTCGAACCTACACCGGCATCAACTATGATGCCTACCGCGCTAACCACTAGACCACACCGCACAGTCACTACAGCCGCTTCAAACGTATTTCACTGGACAGCCAAAGCCCGCACAATCCTTTACAACATCTTTGAAGCGATTAGCAGAAACGGAAGTCAGATTCGAAATCAGCGTTCCAAGACGAGTGTAATGGTATACAACTCATCTCAAAAAGCCACGGACACCGAGTATCGTTTCCTTGTAAGAACTTCTGCTAATTAGATCACCGCTGTTAAAATGCCTCACTAATTGACACTGAGACTTGTCTAAAAAGAACAAAAGTCAGAAATTCCTGGTCACTGTTTTTGGCCCTTATCAGTTTGCCTAAAGTTTAGAGCAAAAAATATGCGAAAGGACAGCTTTTAGCGCTCGTGGTTCCGCTCAAGTGCAAATTTACTACGCTCGCGATAAATTACGTCATTTTTATGAAAAAGGTTTATCTCTGGTCTATTATTTATAGACATATTATTTATGACCTATTATTCACGGACAAAGAAGCCTACTTTCTTTGGCTGTGAGATAAATACGTGCAGCTGCATCGGAGATATTTAAAAGCTCTGGTACCTCACGGCTGTCAGGTGTACGGGGCTGTTCTGTCTTCTGCAAGTTTACCTTGATTCACCTCTTTGATTTCCGAATTTCATTGACATTAATTTGGTACTTTTAAGCTAGCATTTCACATGGCTTTTTCCAACTAAAAACGATTGTGTCGGTCAGATTTATGCTTCAAACCTTCGCATCTTATCATATTAAGTTGGTCTTGACACACTTTGAAAAATCCCAAGTTTTCTAGTTCTGATTAAATTTCTTGTGCACATGTGTCAGGAAGGGAATTTCAAGCACTGTAGAATTATAACAGGGTCACAGCCTTACAAGCTGTTAGAAAGCAGTCGAATTTTCGAATCAAATTTCTATTGCTGAAAATGCTAAAAGGCCCATTTTGAATTGTTCTGAGTCTGTTTTGCGGCATTCTGTTTCGACTAGGGAAAAATTGTTGTTTGGATTGATGGCATGCTTAAAGAATGAGTTAGAGTTCTTCACTCGACTTTGTGGTTTTGTTTCGAATAAAATCTAATATGCGTAGCAAAATAAGCATTTGTCATATGCCACAAAAATACGTAACATATTGCAACCCTTTTCGAACATTTTCAAACTAATAATAAGTTTCGACTTTGAACGAAATTTTGGGGTCAAGGTTATGGGCCAACCTAATATACAGGATGTCCAACAAAGTGCACATTCTAGAACGCCAATAATCCTGATTTCTTCCGCATCTTTACGTACCATTCTGTACAGCCGGCTTTAACTTGGAGTTACAAAACGGCGCAAATTGATCGCTCTTTAACAAGGAAGGTAGGAAGGTAGGAATTGTGAAAATGATTTTAGGCCATTGAGAGCCATATTTGGCTTCAAAAGAACCAGACAAACCAATAATTTTTATACAAGACTAAATGTCTTTAATTTCAAATTTTGTAGATTTCATTTTACTATGATGTTGCCTTCTTAAGTTATTCTAGTGAGCCGTTACAACTCTTTTAATGTTCATCAGAAATGTGAAATTATCATTGAAGAGCAAAAAAAATCTGGGAAAAAGTTGCGTATGGGAAACAGCATGCTTAAATACTTGGCCACACAATCTTCCAGATTCTTAAAAGATTCGTCAGGTAGCCTGCTTCACAATAATTTCATATGCTGGAAGCTATTAGTTAATCATACAGTATTGAAGAGAGTCGATATCTTGCTCCACACTGTGAATCTAACAATAAGTTGAAGCCAGTTGTGCAGAATGGCACCTAGAGATCGAAGAAGGACATCAAAGCTAGAGAGTTATGAACGACCATACATGTGTACACTTTTTTGGAACATCCTGTTATTGCTGAGTATACTCTATAAATTTCTCAGTGTGAACTGCTGCAATATATGTACATTTCAAATTTGTGCCTGTCTGCTCTCCTCCGAAGAAGAAGTTCAAATATAGAATTATTTCAGCAAGCATTCTACCATCGCATTCGTATGGCGATCATCGTTCAACCAGAGAAGTTCCTCCACCAGCAGAAGATCAATTTGGATCTGATTTTAGAGGGCTACGAGTTTCGGGTAGGAATTGCAGCACTCAATTTCATCACAACAGCCTAATCTGTAGTTGCACGTGACCTTCATGAATTTTTTTCTTTATAGACAGTACTGGTTTCGTTACACAAGCTGTCCAAATACATCGATATCTCGCAATTACCGGAGAACTTTGGTGGAACGTTCGCTTACGACGCTGAGCAGTGGTGCGACGAACGAGAGGTATATTCAGAATCTGCTCTAAAGTTCCGCGCTGCCCCACTATGCATAGATTCTCAAGTCTAAATGAATTATTAAGTGAACTTGAGGTATGTCTCAACTTTATGGCCGCTTTCTCCTCCTCCTCTCCTCCTCTATTTGCCTGAAAAAAGTATTGATTCTTCTTTATTTCTCTTCTCATGATTCTTAGTTTTGTTCGACACTTTCTCACACATGCAAAACGATTTTCAGTCAAGATAAGCACTTCTGAAAGCTTGCAGAATTTTTTGAACTACGTCTTAGCGCTTATCTGTGGCTGATAATTTTTTCATAAAATTTCCATTGTCGAGTGTGTAGCCCATTCAGCTGAAATCTTCTCAATCAACCATTGATACCTCTTTAATATCATATATTTCGCTGTAATGATTAGAAAAACTAGTGATCTCATAAAAATAAATAATCGAATAGCTTTTTTTTAATGTCGGGATGATGTTTTTGATGTTTTCTACAGTCGAGTAGATTTCCTGCTTAATATAGTGTTCCTGCAGACGCGACAACGCTGGGGCGTCAATAATTGCTTTGCGAGTTTCCGAACGAATGTTTTCCACTGTTTTCTTTGCTTATGCTTTGCTTTTGCTAGTTGGCTTGTCTTGTAACAACTTCCGCTTTCACCCATAAGAAATATCATTAGAGCGAGAACTTCAGGTGAAAGACAATAAGTCAATCGTAAAAACCACCTACTAGCGTTCAAGAAGTACTTCACAAGAAGAAAGAGACATGAAATGACAAAAATACGCATGAAACTGATGCGATCAGCTTCTACATGGATATCTGAGATTAAGCGATGAAATAGCTACTCATAAAACAGACTTTAACTTCTAACTTACCCTCTTCTCCTTTATCAGTGACGATCTACCTAAAAAGAATAAGAATAAAATAAGAAAAACTAGAAAACATTCAATCGGAAACTCGCAAGGCAATTATTGACGCCCCAGCGTTGTCGCGTCTGCAGGGACACTATATTAAGCAGGAAATCTACTGACTGTACGTATGTCGTTGTAGTTTTCTGCACATAGCTGAAGAAACGAAACTATGTCCTAAGTAATTCCAGCGAGAACTTTGAATTACAAAATTTTGTGGTTGTTTGGACATATAGCCGATACAGTTCTGTTTTCAGTTTCAAAATTGGTTAACGAAAGGGTTTTTGATCCGCGTAGATGAGGAAAGTCCCGTAAATAAGCGCTCCCGCCTCACTATTTATGCATTTTGTTATGATCCCATCCCTTACATATGTCACCTAGGATTACTGTTTTCCATTTTCTCATTTGCGATATAAGTTTAAAATAATCCAGAAAATCGAAGGAATGATGACTGAATTGAACAATCTCCAACAGGATCTTATCCAGTCCAATGGTCGACTTCAAATCAGCCCTGATGATGCCACGATCTTAGCAGGTATATCGAATTGCATTGTATCGATTTAGTTTTTCTGCAAAGATTCGTTTATTTCCATCCTGACGTCCGTATCTGTGCTAAGATGATTATTTTTAGGCAAGCGATTAATGACTGATCTCAAGAAATCCGACAATGTCCATCATAGCGTTGCTGCAAAATCTCTAAAAAGCAAAATTGATGAGATTGAGGTAGGGTTTATTTCTATTTCATCTCTCACTTGTTGGAAAAACGATGACTGGACTTAATTGAATTGAAAATTGAAATTCCAGCATCTTGCTTCTTTGCCCCAAAAAGAGGCAGAGTTGTCAAAGATAAATGCAGAAAACGAAGAACGATGTCGGATGTTAGAAGAGCACGCCGAAGGAGTGAACAGGTACATTTTTGCTTTTTTTGAGATTTTTGAACGCATAGAAGCTAACGGACGAAAAATATTTCATCTCAATTAACTTGAGCCCATAAACATGAAACTTCTTCTGAATCCTGAACTGTTATTTTTGCTAACAAAAACTTTAAGTGTTTTCCCTTTACTTTACCTTGTCATAAAGCATACCCATCTCAAACAAATTCGAAGCTGATATTTTTTTGCCATTAAGTGAGGATGCAAATTGCAGATCTAAATAAAGGGTTTCTTTCGACACACAAAATATGCTGAAAGGGATTTTTTGTTCTTTAGGTGTAAATTCACATAATAAGTAGAGAATGAATCATCTGAAAACGAGTAAAAAAGTCGAGAAAAGTTGAATATTAGATTGGAGGATTATTCAAACAAACTTCCACAGAATTCATATTAAAAGTTAGTGGTTACATTTTTGTTTCTGAAACTGGCTTGTTATAGACAGCAAGAAGAAAGTCGATGCGAAATGAATATAAAATTATAGGCTCCTGGACTGGATTGAAGGCCCTGGCGAAAAATGGCTCCTAACATTGCACGAAATTGGCGAGAACAAAGATGAGGCACGACAACTGGTGAAAGAACATCAACAACTCGCACTTAAAAGCAAGGTGGGGCTATTCAATAAGTTGGTTGTTGGTTTGGATATCGTATATCTTTTCTGAAGCTCACAGAAAAAAAGAACAAGTAAAACTTCTGTTTATGAGCAGTAACAATGGATATATGTATGACAAAATGTATATATTTGACTATTTATGTGTACTTTTTAATTTCAAAAATTCATGGTTTTTACTTTCTTCACCGTTATACATATGTTACCCCTCTCACATTCCACTTAGGAAGCTTTACAAATTTCTCTATTCCACCATTTTTATCCAAGCACGTAGTGTTTCTGATGCAGTGGTGTAATTTTGTGTACCAGCTGTTCGAAGCCTTTATGACACATTCCACATTCCAAAAAGAATCACACGGTATCGGAATCCTCTCAAAAACGGTTAATAAATTAAGAGATTGCTTAGTATTTATCAGCTCACTCTTTTACGTTTCTGCCCATTTGTTTTGTTTTTCGTTGGTATTTTTTGGCTGCCCTACGAATGACAGACACTTTTCTTATCACAAATAGCTGTAGATTGGCAGACAACTGAGCTACAACGAGCCCATTGTGTACGAAACAGCTATACTAAATACTCGTATGCTTTGCTGGTAGATGTCTTGCTAAACTTATAATGATTTGTGAGATATGACAAGGAGATATATGTCTTCCCTGTTTCTCTAAAACTTTCACATTTGCTTCCTCTTGGCTCTGTAATTTCTCCGCATTTTCTATCCATTCATTTTGATTTGCCACGCATACTGAATTTGCTTCCTATACTAACACCACTATAGGAATTTATGAGAGCATACGTAGATGATTTTTGAATTCGAAAGGAAAACATTCCAAATATTAATTTAACGACGGTTGCATGTAATGGAAACCTGACTTAATCATATTCAAATTACTCCCTACTAGAATTCGACCACTGGTAAATAACGTGTTTTTTTTTCTTTAGCGATAGTTGATTGCATGTCGAAGTCCTTAAGCAAGGTTTTCCGTCTCATTTTTTTTTGAAGTTTTTTATCTCGCTTTATCGTGCATGGAATGCGCACATGAATTGTCGATGATTTTGGACGGACTTTTTTTGCAGCAAGTGCGTGAAAAAAAAAAGAGAATTGAAGAAAAAAACTTGCAAAGGGCATTCAAGCATTCGAAAAACATTGCAGAAAGCGATATCACCGTTAGAAGGGTCTTGAGCGAAACCTACTTGCACATACAACATATATGAAAAGTCTTATCATTAGAAAATTCTTGAAAATGCTTTGTTGATATGTAGTCATCGTGTTGGCCTCCTAAGTTGTGTCCTCATTCTGTCCAACACAGTGAAACATGCATCTCTTTTAAGGTCTTTTCTCCATCAATGATAAGATTAATTGAGAGTTGCTGTGTAACATTTCTGATATATGTACACCTCAGCATATGTTCTATAGTGCTTTTCCTCCTAATGCCTTCAGCACAGATTATTCTTCGACAACTTAAGTTTCAATCAAAAAATTGAGAAGCCATTATCTTTGAATTTCCTTCCCAAGAAACATTGCCAAAAAATCTAACTTTTCCAGTTATGGTCTCTCCACATGCACGAATACTGAAAGAATGCAATGCCCATTTTGAGTCTACGTTGAACAAAAGAAACATTTTATCAATAACAGTTTATCCCAAGAGTTTTTGTCCGTTTTATCTCAGTGGACAATGACTTATAACTCAAAAGAGAAAAATTTTGCACTGATTAGAGGTCTCCACAAAATTTTTTCGAGGGGTCAGTACAAAACAGTAAACTGCTATTTTTGGCATTTTTCGAAAATCACCTTTCTGGAAACGTCCATTCAGCCCGATTTTTTCCCAATTGTAGGTCACAAACTTGCGTACTACATTTCAGATTCTTCTGCAAGGTTGCAGATTTGGCATATAAAGTTGAAATGATTAGCTTTGTCCATCGTCTCCGCAACGGGTGTCTATAAAAACACAAAACAGTTTTACAGGGCCAAGTACTTCTCCTTTTCAACGAAATTATATTGAAGCAAATCCATCTGCATAACAAGAAGCAACAAGAACAAAAAAATATAAACTCTAACAAATGTTTCGATTCTATCGACCAAAATTCAAAAATCCTTTTTGGGTTTTTCTCTTGATCAGCTTATATCGTTGCCATATACCCTCGAAGAATTTTGTCTCGGGCACCTGCAAAAAGCGCAAGATTTTCTTTCTCTATTATGTGTCAAAAAGAATTCATTGAAGCTGAAAGATATAATAGAATTTCAAAATTTTGTTGCAAGAATTATGCATTAACCTAATAGTTGCCTTTCAGCAGCAAAATCAAGGTTGAAAAGAAAGACAGCCTGATAATTTCTCACTTGAATTTCTTGAATTGATCCTTGCGACCGCTGCGACTCTACTACACTATGATTGCTCATGTGGCCGGAGATGACCGGCTGTTCGTCGGTTGCACTTCGCAAGCGCAGCTTCACGCAGGCTGCAAAGCATTTCAGCCGAACGTGTGTGCGCTCGCGTCCCGCTTGCTGGGCATTACAGCCTCGTCGTGTACTTTGACGTCCACTCCTCACTTATGATTAATGTCTATATGCAGGCAAGCAACACTATCTCCTACATTATCTTTTGCAGCAATAATTTTCGCTAAAAATTCCGAACAGGCTCCATTTTTTTGCCTCTGAAAATGATAAAGTCTCAGACGGCTAATGATTTTCTGTAGTCATGAAGATACAAGATACCTATGGATAGTATTTTTTATTAAGTATTGATCAGTCGTTGAAATCGCTTGTAAACAGTGAGTAAGTATAGCTAAATTTACAGCACATCTTATTCAAACAACCGCATGCAACTGTCTGTGTTCTGCGTTTTTCAGTAAGTATCCACTTGAAATATGAGCGAAAGTAGTGAAAATAGCGATAGATGTTGAAAATTTCTCTTATTCTGTAAGCTTACTGGAAAACGCACTAAGTAATCAAAAACACTTCTACCCTATGTTTCGTTCCTTTCCTTAGGTGGAGCATTACATCTCTAATCACCTCTCATGACTCCTCAATAAGGGAGAGCCCGGAAAACTGGATTACGTTTTTTTCCTGTAGATTATCAAAGTAAAGTATCAAAGTAAATAGCTTTTATATTCGAACATCTATCTCGTATAACAAAATTTTTCTCACTCTTTACGAGCATCTGAATCTCTTTCACATCAATACCAAAGCCACTATATACAAAATTTTGAGTAGTTTATGTTGAATATATGCTAAGTAATCCTAGAAAATAGTTTTTACTGCTTGTTTTTCACGATGTATGTACGTTTCTTTTAATGTCACAGCTTTGTGTCAAGAAGTGCCTGAACAGCGGTGAAAAAAGTGTGAAACCTACCTACTTTCAACTTTACAAACTTCGTTGAGTATCGATTTCGTCAGTATTACTGTCAACTTTGTTCAAATTGTATGTCATACGGAATGACAAACGTTGAAAAAAGCACCTGAATATGGTATGTCTAGCTGTCAAAATCAAGCATTAATAATGAGATTTAGTGCCAAGTATGGGAATAAGTTCAGGTGGTGAATCTTAACTTCCGGGAATTATCGGATGCGACTAGGATCAGCATCTGCACTACAGCATTTTCTTTCAGGAAATTGTTTCCCAAGCAGATGAATTGGCCGACTTGGCGTCGCGTCTAATGGCTGCAGTGCCTGCTCATTCGATCACACTTGAAAAGGTATAGCATTCTCTAACTTTTCTCTCAAGACCTAATAAAGACAGGAAAAAATTTGAACACTAAGGGCCGCATGCACTAACATCCGCGCGGGGAGGGGATCGCAGCTTAGAAGAAAGCTTTATATTTCGAAACTCCAGATACCTGGATTTCACGTTGTGTACCTATCCGTAAGTATTCCTACTACCATTCACTATGAACATGTTGAAGAGGAGTGAGAAGCTGTACGAACCGTATTTTCCAGGTTTGTATGATCCCTGATGATCCCCGGCGCTTTTCTTCAAAGTCATTTTTCTTTCTCCGAAGTAAACGAAAAACCTCCAAAGTTGTGCAGATTATCTAAACCGACAGTGTAAGCATGTTGCTGATAAGAACAAATGATGTTTTGAAGTCATGAAATTTTCGATGATCCACAGGTCGAAAGTTGGGGTTTATCGAGAATTTCGATTTTCCAAAAACCCAGTGGTTCTTACCAGCAACATGCTTAGCACTGTTGGGTTAGATTATCAGTACAACTTTGGAATGTTTCCATTAACTCTGAAGAAAGAAAAATGATTTTGAAGAAAAGACGGTCGGCTGCCGGGAATCATCAGGGATCATACAAACCTGGAAAATACGGTTCGTACAGCTTCTCACTCCTCTTCAACATGTTCATAGTGAATGGTAGTAGGAATACTTACGGATAGGTGCACAACGTGAAATCCAGATGTCTGGAGCTTCAGAATATGAAGCTTTCTTTTGAGCTGCGATCCCCTCCCCAGCGGGGAGGTTAGTGCATGCGGCCTTAAGAAAGAAAAGAGTTGGGCAAAATCTGAATTTAGGCTCGGGAACAAGTACGCGGATTAGCTCGTCAGTACGCCAATCGAGTGGAGCGACAAACAGGGATGGCTCGTCAAAGCGAAGAGTTTCACACGAAAATGAGCGAGGTAAGACTTCAAAATATACTACCCTATTTGCTTTTTATAGCTTATGTTTTTTTTTAAAATTATGAACAGCAACAAGGAAAGTCAGATATCTCACAATCAGTTGAATTTTCTAAATTGACTCTTTTCCACGTAGTCGTCCCTAAAGTTTTTCTCACTTGTCGTTTTAACAGTCATCTTTTATGTATATCAATAAGTTGCATACCCTGATATTTTCTATGAATTTATGTTTCTGTTCGATTCATCTTCTATTCGCCAAAAAACCTTGCGTAAAGCAAATAATACTGCGGAACATGCAAAAGATTTTTTAAAGTCTGATACTATAATCGAAACAATTATTTCTGACTGAAAACAGAAGAGTAATCATTTTTGGAACAAATTTTAGAGTACCATCTTTGCAACTTTGCCAACTGCTTACGGGTTTGCGAATTTGATCAAGATTGTCACGCAATTCCGAGGTACTTTCAGATTAGACTTTTGGCTCTGGTTTAATGAAATTTTGCGAAACCCTGTGATATGTTGAAGTTGTATTCGAATGCTCTAAGTTGCCCTTCTCCATAAAATCGATTCTCAAGTCAATTGCTTGCCGAAAAACAAAAATAGCATTTTTCACCTATAACTTTTTGCACTGACACTTGTACCAGCATTGCAGTGTTACTACTTCGCGCTTGCATTTGTTTCCGCAGGTTTAATGCATTATCGCAGCTGGCGCTCGTAACATATGGCGATATATCCACATCGACCTTACAAGCTGCTTGTAGTAAAACTCTGGTATTCATGAACAAGTTTTCAATGGAAGGGGCCAATCATTATGTTCTCTACTTTTATTTGGCTCCTTTAACCCGCGACAGAGGTAAAATTCGTGAAGATTATATAATATGTTGATAGCGAAGCAGATATCGAATATCATTCCTGACTTTTCCACAGTGTAGAGGGAACTGAAGGGAGCTACGGCAGATCACTTGATACGATTTTTATGTGAAAGGGAGGTGCAAATAAATAAGATATCCTCTGCATTCTCATCTGAAAGCCTTCAGTGCATTGCTTGGTACAAATAATCTCACATGTAGAAAGAGATAAAGTAGCGTTAGGGTAATGAATGAATAAAATATGAAACAATGTGCTGCTACTCAGACATTATGGCAAGGGACATACCTCACGCGATTTCAGTCGCCACGCGATCTGGCAATTTGCCAGATGTCTTCAAATTCAATACTGGTAGACCCCAGATGCACAGCATGTATAACTTTCGTACATCTTATATATAAAGCTGAATGTCTGTTTGTCTGTCTGTATGTCTGTCTGTCTGTATGTATGTACGTATGTTCCGAATACAAATTTTTATTTCTGAACCGATCGGGACCAAACTTGGCACACATATACTTCAGGGCAGGGAGCGTGTCATAGGCTACTTTTCGTTATCGATCGATATCGATTTTATTGATTTTTTGCAAAATTCGAGCTAGAGGGCTGGGATTTGGCAGAGGGGGGTAATCGAGCATGCTGATCACCCCGAAGGGGTCAAAATCCTAGCCCCCTAGCTCAAATTTTGCAAAAAATCGGTAAAATCGACATCGATCGATAACGAAAAGTGGGCTGTGACACGCTCCCTGCCCCGAAGTGTATGTGTGCAAAGTTCGGTCCCAATCGGTTCAGAGATAAAAATTTCTATTCGGAACATACGTACACGGGTCTAGCTGGCAGGCCCGGCGGAGCCGGGCAAGCCAGCTAGTAGGTTGATAAAATGCCCCACCTTCCCTACATTCAGAAACCCCATACGATGAGTTATGAACATTTGGAGTATTGCCAAATCGCGTGGCGACTGAAATCGCGTGAGGTATGCCCGAGGTCTGTTGCGTTAAGTCGCACATATGAATAGCACCAACCAGAAATCTTTCGCAAGGTCATTATTCATTTTTAAAGGTTGAAGTGTTTGTACATCTGCGTATCAGTACACAATATTGCTTGACAATCTAAGCTTTGAATCAACTGGCTTGGCGGCTGGAAGGCGGGGCTTTGTGACCTGATTAAGGCCGCTTGCGTTCGCTACGCACTCTGCGTCTCTCTCCGCGCGTGTCTCTGACCACTACATAGCCTTGATTAGCTCACGAAGCCCCGCCTTCCAAACGCCAAGCCAGTTGAATCAAAGGGTACTGATTGATTTTTCTTTTCGCTATGCCCAGTGTAATCTACGTTCAAAGATCTTTGCATTTTTTGCGTGGACTTATAATCGCCGCCTACTCAAGTCGATTAGTCTATTTTCTTTTTCTTAACTTCTCTATTCTTATGACTTTGCATTGGTTGATGCATTTGATTACAGGAAATGAAAATTTCTTCATATTGCTGACAGGCACCACATACGTTTCTGACATAGCCAAGAAATTAGAGTAAAACTTTAAAACATTTCCCATGGCAAACTTTTTTCATTTCTTTGGGCTAAAAATATCCAAAATTCTATAGCAAGCTTCTACGCTGCGCACATATGTTCTAAATCTGGTAGCACTGCGAGGAATGCTCTTTTTGTAATTATTGCTTTGTGTAATGTTAGCAATTTGGAATTTTACGAGCATGCGTACGATCTTCAAAAATGTTGTTTGCAACTTCTTCCATGATGTAAAGTGTATGATACGTACACTCGTGCGTTTAGCGTCTAGAATGGGGAATTTAAAATCTTGTGTATGGGCACCCATAGAACTGCTTAGGATGGCGCTAATGGTCGTAAACATAGTCGTTAGAAATAGCATTAAAAATCATTTTTAATATGGTACACCAATTTTTGAGTTCCTGAATGCTTAGATTCATTTATGACTATCTCCTTGACTTCGTTACTACCTGAGTCATGCTTTGCTTTTTTTGCTCAGAAAGAGATGTATCTTTCTGAATTTTCTTTAATGTGTTTTAAAAAACAGTTGATTATGAGGAACAAAATTTAATAAATGAATACATAAATAATAAAATTTTTTATTCGTTGCAACACACTCTAGCCATATCGCTAAGTGTATATCTTCGCATTCTTATATCAGCCAGCTCAGTCATCATATTGTCTTCCTGGTATTACGCATCCTTACACAACATTTCTTAGCTTACACGAAAAACGGACGTCTTGCTGGAATCGCTTTGCACAGATCTGATGATGAACGATCTTACGGCAGTCGAATCCGAAAAGACTAATCTCGAAGAAAAAGTCAGCGCAATGGGTGAGGAAATTCGTATTGCTTTGATTCTCGTCTATTCACAGCGGCTTTTTAGAAAAAATGTATGAGACTGTAACTATGTGCGGTGCTTCATTTATCGACGATTTATCAGCGGAAGAGGTCAATTTACACGGAAAGCGGGTCATACGGGATTATATGGCTGGGATTGTACATGTACGGGAACAGTTGGCAGCAGCCAGAGAAAGGAGGAAGAGGTTTGCCTATGGATTGAATATCGGTCTCAAATGATATTTGATGGATTGAACAATCTCAAATCTGATTTGAAGATGCCTCGAATTAGTGGACGTCAGACGACTAAAACTTCAGCAGTTTACCCAATTGTTTACTTGCGAGAATGATGCACAACAGGTAAATAAACCTTATAATAATCTTCGTAAATCACTTATTCTAGGCCATAAAATGGTTAGAAGAATTGCACGAGACATTGCTCAAGGACTATAATCAGATCGGCACTACAGAAGAGGATCTCCGATATCTGAGGGAGGACCGACTGAAATTAGAGGATACCGCTCGAGTATGCAGAAATATCTTCTCCTTACTTTGAACTGTTTTCAATGTTTTTTTTTTGTTGTTTAGAGTACATATGAATATGGACGACAACTCTGCCAAGTTGCTTTGGTACTGAGAAGATCGCTTAGGATGGATGTGAAAAATCAGGTAAGATTGCCCATATGTCTCGCACAAAAAATTGATTGAAATAGGCCTTTATAAGCTTGTGACGTGTAATGTTATACAAAAAATGTTTTTCCTTGGAATTTTGTGAGAAGATGCATTGTTGCGGCTCCACGTTGCAGAGCTGCTCCTCAGAACAGGTGCCAAGGGGCGCTTATGTCGCGTTTGCCTGTCGCGCCTTTTGTAGGTTGCTGCAGGACCACTCCCGGCTTGGAGCGCAGCCAAGTGGCAAGGCCCTCGCCTCTCCGATATTTGTCTTCATTATTGATTATTTTGTATAATGCTTGGCTACGTCCGGGACAGCTCCCGCGGCTGAGGAATCCTTGTTAAGTGGTTGAGCCTCTAGGATCTTGTAGGCTGAACGCGCTTCAATGCGAGAAAATCTGGAAGTCTGTAGATGAACATTGTTACGGGAGTGGAGCGGTGAGTGCACCGTTTCATGGGACTGGGTCTCCAGCGGCCGACTCTGTGGAGGAACCCAGAACTTCTTGGTTGAATTGAGCCTCCTACATCGGCAGCACAGGACGGGCGGCCCGTCCCATGTTCTTAGTCTGGTCATCCTCTTTAGGGCCTCGTAGTTTTCTTTGCACATAATTTTTGTATTTGTTATTTTCTGATATAATCTAATTTACGCGCGTTATACATGGGTTTTTGAGTTGAGTGACCGCGTCGAGTGGACGCGCCGTGAGGATCCAGCGGTATCGGATGCGTAATGCCCCGGTGTAGGATGTGGTGTAGAACAGTCGAGCACACGGCTAGGGGTGCTGGGTTATCGAGCCGCAGCACGCATGCTTTTTTTTCTAACATAAGCTACATCAGATCAAACATTGGAACAACATTTCGAACTTAATCTTTTGACATTATGGTCATGCTCTGCGCTGTCAAGTGATCCAGATTTGCTTATAGCAATGACTCTTTTGTATCCTCACCTCTCCTTAAACTATCCTTTATTGAAAAACGATATATGGTAGACGTATTTATTTCAGATTGGTCTCAACGAGAAGCTGGAGCAAACGTGGGGGCGGCTATGTAGAGCACTAAGCGAAAACGAAGCGAAATTGAATGTGACCGAGGCATTCAACACAACTGTTGTGGAGGTAAGGCATTCATTACATCCAATGAATAGATTACTTTTGAAAGTGAAGCCATGCTCACTGAAGACCAAAACATCAAACTTTCTAGGTAAACCACCGAGTCGATGAACTAGGCCGAAGAGTAGCCGAACTACGAGATAGTCAACGAAATCCGGAGCGATTATGCGCTGTTGAACGACGTCGCTTAGGAAACGATATCCAGGAATTGCGACATATAGCCGATATGCTGATCGCGCAAGTGAATGCTAATCACAAGTAAGTCTAGGGCAATTTATTGGCTAGCTGAACAGATGAATTTTAGTGCCCCCACAGAAGCACGCCAAGCTGCTATCACATCTATTAGAAGAAAAGTAGATGGTGTAGATGCGGCACATAGACGGATGGAAAGCCTTTTTACTGAATCCAGTTCGGAGCCGTCCCGAAGCCAGTCGTTGCACAGACTGAACGAACCTCCTCCTCCTCCCCGCACCGAAGACGTATCTCGCTCCTACTATCACATCGCGGACAATCCCAGAAGATCCGCTACCCTAAACCGTGGAAATCACCTAAATGGAAATCATCTTAGTCCAACGAGTGAAACTCGATCCTGGCGAGCGGAAATGGCGCGAGAAGCACATATAGGAAGTATTCGGCTCAGCGATACTGAAAGCTACTTGTAGATTTGGCCAGTAGTTTTTTTAGCGAAAAGCTATCACCAGAGAGATTAGCAGTGAATGCGCTGTGATTAATTTTACTCCATGTGTTTATAGCAGTACTGTAGCTCATCGTAAAAGCGGGAAATTTATAGATTAGTACAGCTTGATGCACCTTTCAACTGATAGGTTAGTATAGAATCATCACTTTTTGGAACTCAAGAAAAACGCAATTAAATTTCCGAGATCAAAAGTACGCAAAATGTAAATGTTCATTACTCTAAGTTCTGCAAAAGATTCCTACCTTAGACAGTACAATCAGGATCTACACACCTTTCATTGTCTTTTCATTTTTCTGATGACAATTCCTTCTTGTGCACTTCCGGTTGTTCATTTTTTACTTCTTTGATCTATTTCTTGCAATCAATAAAGAGCTGTTTATTTTGAACTGTTTTATACAACAAATAACTTGTTAAATATGGTAAACAAAGGCAGTAGATTTTCCACGTGTTTAGTTGAATTGGATTACGCACACTTTTGCTTACATGGAGAAAAAATCAAAGTCGTTCTAGCAAATCGGCCTCGTTCATGTTGCTATCATTAAGATGACGAGCGAGTGCTTCTTGTTCTTTATTATAACGCTCAGCCAAGATTTCCATGTGTGAGGCTTCGTACTCGATATAATGCGGGCGAAGAAGTAACTCGATTTCTCTGAATACGGCAACTACCACTTATTGCAGTCCCACCAATATTCAGAACTTTGCTGTTTTTTATTTAGAAAAATGTTACAGCAGAAGAATGGGAGTGACATAGCTTGCGTTTTGGCAAGAAAAGTATGAAACTTGAGCATGATGAAGCATCTAAAGCATCTTTAAAAAAATTCACTGTATGACCAAACAGAAGGTTTCTTACCCTTACTGTATTTCCCTACTGAAAAAAGCTCCCAACAAGTTAAAAAAAATAGAAAATTCTCAAAAAATGTTGAGTTGATGTACGAACGTATGCGCACCTAAAATGCGGCCTATCAGCTGGCAGTCTTCTCCAGCACTGCAGCGAAACGTCATATATAAAATGAGGCATCTTTGGTTGCCTTTCGAAACGATGACCATCTGCAAAAAGTTCATTCAAGACCAAAATTACGTTCAGTGCTATTCACCATTGAGAGCATGCACAACTTTTTCTGCACCCATCATACCATATGGCTCTCCTATACCATAGATTTCATGCATTAGCACTCCGTAAGACCAAACGTCGGCCTTCGGCGTCATCTCACGGCTCTTTAGAACTTCAGGTGGTAGCCACTTGAACCTATTAAAGATACAATGAGTTTGGAGCAGTAAACGAATTTGTAATGATCTCTATTTGTTGGGAGAGGATGACATGTTTGAGCATTGATATGCAGTACAGCAAAGGCAGTACCGTCTTAAAAGTGCGGTATGAGTGCATTGTTTTGTCGAAGATGCTACATCGCAGTGGCATTGAGCGCGCCTCCCCTCCCCCCTCCCCCCCCCCCCCTCCCTCCGGGCATGGAATGCGAAATTTTTGAAAGTTATTCATATGAGTTACCAAAATGTGCAAGCGACTTGAAAATTAATTTGATTTTGAAAAATTTCTAATAATTCAAATCAGCCTTACAAAAATTTTTCGGGGTGGCTTCCCGCCACCCCCCCCCCCCACTTTTTTGAAATTTTGGGGTTATGGGCCCTCAAAAATTTCAGGAAAAATGACAAAAAAATTTTCGGAGTGCGCGGCTGACGCCATGCATCTTCATCAGAAAAAATTTTCGTCCATCCTCCTCCCTCCCCAAACGGAGATCCTGGGCACGCTAAGATACATTGATATAACTCCTTTATGGATAATTGGAATCAGCGGTAGCTGATGCATATCATGATATGTTCAAAAATCAGAAAAAGTATAAAAAATTTTGGCCTGCATATTAGCAGCCAGTGTCAGGGCTATTTGATGGTATGTTCAACAGTCTCGAAAGCTTTATTTTATTCTATTCCATGCTCCAAATTCTGATCCCTATGCAGTGATTCACTAATCCTAATGAGTTCCACAACATTGATAACAAAGCTTTCCAAGACTCAAGGATATGTTCAAAAATCTTAAAATCTCAACTACTCCATTTCGTTGCCCCAGATTTCGTTGGTCCTTCAAAAAGATGTGATAAGCTAGGCGCCCTAGCACTTGGCTTTCGTGACCAGGGCCCGGCACGAGGTCGGCAAATGACAAGCTGGAAATCGTTTTGGGGCCAAAAAGCAAAGGGGAAATCGTTTTTGCGGGGTCCGGGGCGGAGCCCCGGAAAAAATTGGTAGTTCATGCTCGCTACTTATCTTGACATGTTATGTGCCTCAACAGGCGAACACTGGAGTTCGCGCGCGTCAAACCGCGCCGTCGCTAAGTGCCGCACGCGCGACGTCGTCCAAGCGATGCTATTTGTAACTGCATACATGACTAGTTCTCAATGTGTGTGTAACGATATGGCACCAAATTTTGTGTGCGAACGGATAGAGGCTAGTGGAAACATGGTATGAAAAATTATGAAAAACTTATGTGAACGGAACGAGTAATTAGCATTTTTTCCGAGAATTTCGCAAAACTGGTAAATGAAAATGTGAATTTAAACGGCTCGTTTGGAAAGCGCAGATGAACGATATGGTATGAAACTTGGTAAGTACATGCACACGGGCTTGCAGGGCTTAACTGAGGAGTTTCATTGAGAAATTATGTGACTGAAGGTTGTGGCAAACTTTTTTCTGGAAATTTTGCGCTACCAAAGAAATGGAAAAATGGCTCGTTTGTAACGCAGAGGCAACGAAATCGCGCGGGCTTCGGTGTGTATATGCGCAATAGGACTAAGTAATAAAGTATGAAATATTATGAAAAACTTATGTGAATGAAGAGTTTCCTTAACTTATTTCCAAATTAGGTCGGCATTTGCCGACCTAATTCCCACCTGAGGTCGGCAAAACTTTCAATTCACATAATTTTCTCAAAATTTTTACATAAATCTGTTGTACACCCAAAGTTTACTACATGGTGAAATTTTGGTTCCGAAACTCCTCCTCTTGTCCTTATTAGAGCCCAAAATGGCATCAGCAGCCCAGCTTTCTAAGATAGAAAGCGCGCCCCAGTCAATCGATACGCGCGGGAACGGCGTCTCTCATTCCTATGACTGCGTTTCTTTGATATTTTCTCATTCCTTAATCATTTTTCTTGCTTATTTTTTTCCTGTTTCCTATCTTGGTACAGCAATTTGAGTAATATGAGGAATTTGAGCAATTTGGGCGCTTTTGAGCGCTTTTAGGCGAAGTGTGGCCGGTAATCTCGTCGCACAAGCACAAAACGTCATTTTTGGGCTCAAGGGAGTATTCGTAAAACTTACTGGGATCAAAGGGGTATTCGTTTTGGAAAACCCCGTTTGCCCACCTCGTGCCGGGCCCTGTTCGTGACATGAAAGTTATGATTACTTTCACCATGATCGCCAGTTAAAAGTGACAAAAAATATGGTGTACGCTGAGCAGACTGATTTACATTTTGACTTTTCAATCCAAAGTACGATGCATTGTGAATCTTGAATTCATACCACTAAAATTTAGATCACAAGCACAAATCACTTGTTTATGTGTTGAAGCAAGAGAAAGTAGCTTATGGCAAAAGCAAGCAAATCTCTTGACTAACTGGCTTGAAACAAAGCTTAGAAATCCAGACACCAGCGTAATATCTCGATTTTTCATGCGAACATTAGTGTTTTTTACCATAGGTTCTCACTGAACAAAATTCAAAACAAAATTCAACAAACAAACAAAGTTCTCACAAACAACAACTTTGTCCAGAAAAAGCTAAAATCCTACTTGCTCCGCACGTAAATTCCATATCAGACACCAGAACAGTTGCCGTATTTCTCCCTCGGTTAAATATCAACAAAAGATCATATTTTGTCAAAGCAATGCCAAGCCGACTTTGTATACTACTAAAAGTGTGGTAGTATACAAAGTAAAAGGACAGCTGCGAAATTTTAGCCATGTACAGGAACCAGTTTTCTGGAATTAGGGAATTTAGCTCCTTTATTAAGCCTTGTTCGACATTTTCTGACTGAAATTTTATGGTTGTCTTTCTAAGGCTTACAGAGTACATTTATTAGTGCATAACAACTCAACATTCTTTGATTTATAAAAGTTTCCATTTTCTCGATTTCTAAAAAATACAGCAACTTATATGTGAGGTAGACGCTGACGCAACCCTTGCCAACTCTAGATCAGGCCTTCTGATCTTCTGATTCAAGTAGAAGTAGGAGAACAACGAAGCCAAACGTGATTATCTTAGAATCAGTAACGAGTTCTCATGTTAAGTGAATGCAACTAACGGAATTTTGTTTGGATCGTCGTATGTGGCAAATGTTTCCGAACGAGTTCTCTTCGATATTCCTAGATCTGTGAGTTTCATAATAAATCTGAAATTTGCACGAGCATACATGATAAAACATTGATTTGTGTTCTTTACCTCGCCTTATCCACTGGATGAGTGGTTACCAAAACATTACGAGCAGCCAAATCCCCATGAACAATTGAAGGTTCTTGAGCATGCAAATGTGCCATACCGCGGGCTATTTGACAGAGCCAATCAACCGTTTCGTTTACGCTCACTCGATAGTTCAGCTTCTATATTAATGGATCTTTTCTGCTCTAGAAGCAAGAAAGCTTACCCTGCAAAACGTATCCAAAGCACCCTTGTCCAGTTTCTCGAAAATCAGAAGAATATTACTGTCTGTAGGTTCCATGCAAAATCCGTAGAAGCGCACGATATTGGGATGGTTGAGTTGCTATTTATAATTATCTATAATGTATATTCCACAAAAAAAGCATTCTGGTAACATACCTGTGCCATTTCTATCTCTGTAATCCAAGGGAGCCTCTGGTCTTTGTCTGTGCAAACGAGGCGAAGACTTTTGACAGCTACGGGTACTTTTTCGCCATTCTGAGTCTGCAAGCAATGTTTTGGAAGCACAGTGGCGTTAATTTAGTGCACGAAAGTTAAAGGGCTTGCGGTGTAAAAAATGTAAATTCAAGATCCCTGATCCTGCTCCGTTGACCAAACTAGAGCTGCGGGAATTTGGCACAGGCCCTTTGCGAGCTGTTGGTAATAGAGACTGTACTTCTAATCTTTCGTCTTTCTTATAAGTTGAGTAAGTCGCATGTGGTGTCATCAGTCATTATTTCCCAGAAGTCCTTACTTGCCTTTCTTATTTCTCTCATTATCACTTTTTTATATATTTTTTGGTGAGGATAGGCGAATATTCTAGAGCTGGATTCTTTATTCTGTGATTGCTTTCTACGGGTCGCGTATTGCTAATTTTTTTGTCACTTTGAGCAAACAATCAGTACTTCCTAAACAAACCTATGAAGTAATCTTCAAGATTGTCGTACTAATAGGTTCTATTGAGTGAATTTAAGCTGCATTTATTATATTAGGTTGTCCCGAAAGTTTTGTCCGTTTTTTCAACCTATCATAAAAACGCGTGGAACGAAGATAGGGAAACGCTCTAAGCACTATCCGACGCATCTTTTTCTTCTCTTTCTAATTGTCAAGCCCTCATGCCAATTACTCTTTTGCTCACTGAGATAAACGCCGAAATTTCGAACCCATGGTTTTTACCATGTCCAAGTCAATTTTTCACAATCTTTATTTTTGACTTTCGGAAAAGCTTTGGCAACAGTTAGATAGAGCAAACAAAGGGCGATATAATGCAATTTTGCGGCATCTATAGCCAGCCTTGAAAATTTTTTAGAATTATTTTTCTGATGCTATCAAATTCCATTTTTGGTGATGCCAAAAGCCAGAGATCATGAAACGGGGCACAACTAAGGTGTTATTCGATGCAGCTTTTCCTCCTCTTTCCAGTGAGTGTATTTTCCCTGCATTTTGCGGGGTTCTTGGCGATAAAATTTTCATAATTCTTGAATTTGACCCCACCCCGGCATGTGCACGTAAAATGCAAAATCTTATATTTCGAAGCGGTAAACGCTCATTTGCTTCGTAAAAATAGTGAATAATCATACTCGGTTTTTAAAAGCTTCAAAATCCGATGGTTTGTTAGTTTTCGAGGCGTTTCTGTATTTTGGGACTTCGCAAAAATGAAGACTTTTGAAAAAATTATCTTAAAAAATACTGAAAAGCCAGCTGGATAAGCCAAAAAATTGCATTGCATTGCCTTTTGTTTACTCTATCGCCAAACTTGAACATAATAAAAACCACGGGTTCGAAATTTCGGCGTTTATCTCAGTGAGCAAAAGAGTAATTGGCATGAGGGCTTGACAATTAGAAAGAGAAGAAAAAGATGCGTCGGATAGTGCTTAGAGCGTTTCCCTATCTTCGTTCCACGCGTTTTTATGATAGGTTGAAAAAACGGACAAAACTTTCGGGACAACCTAATATTAGGTTATTATTATCATCACTTATATTAGTTGCCCCAAAAGTTTTGTCGGTTTTTTCAAACCACTATAAAACCATGCACAATAAAGACCTGAATGAGTTTTAACATGCATTCGATGCAGCTTTTCCTTATCTTTCTTACGGTTACAATTAAGAGCCACGGTCCTGCATGGTTTTCTGATAATTGCCACAAATCTTCATTCGTCATTTTTATCTGCTTAAAGTTGGGCTAATTTTTGAAAATTCCATTCCAAAGTTTTGGAAAAGATTAAGCATGGCGCAAATAAAACAATTCTCGGGCTGTACGGTAATGTTTTTAGATTCTCCTAAATTGTTGTTTATAGCTTTATAGAATTATTTTTTCGGAGGTCTCAATTTCTGGCAAAACCATGGAACACGAAACTGCGGCAATAACATGAATTGGAATTTTTGCGAATTGAAACTTGATTGCTAATAAACATTATTTGGCAACATAACCAAGTTTAATTTGCTTTCAAAAATCAGCTTTTTGGAATTTTCGGTAATTTTACGTGATTGACGTAATCAAAAAGCCGTGGTTTTTCTTAAATAAATAATTATTTAGGACTTGATAAACGTGACCCATGTAATCTAAAATAAGTATAATATAGCCGAAGAATGGCTCTACATAACAGTTATTAGCGCTTTTCGAAAGTAGCAAAAGAAAAATTTTTAAAATTCTTGAGCTGCTCAAAAAGCCCTGGCGATAACATTGCGAAGACAGGGTAGATCAGAGAGCAAATATAGCTGTATGAAAGAAGATGAAAATCTGAATTAAATGATACTTGGATCTTCCATGAATTGGTGTTCTGTGGGTTTTAGTGAGCGATGGAAAAAACCGACAATACTTTCGGGACAACCTATATTGCTGAACTTCACCTAGAAATGGATAAGACAGAAATATTTTTTTTTGTTTTACACCATATACTTCGTGATGGACTATTCATTATGCGCAAGTACGGAATTTCCTACTTCTATCCATCTACCTTTGATGCAGATTCTTCATGAAATTTGGACAAATGCCAACGCGCGATAGTGGTTAGGCGAGACATGCGTTTGAAAGTAACATCCGCCTTATATCCTAAATTCATTGTATTTTGCTACCTCCTTAGAACTCGTCGGATTTATCCCTGAATTTCTTATACTTCCCTCTGCTCACCCCCGGGGAATCTTCATATGCTTCTCTCGTTTCTCATTTAGACTACTCTCAGTCATCATCCAAGAACCAACACTTTCAGATTTTCGCAGTTTTCTTGGTAACTATTGATGATGGGCTGTCAAGAAAGCTACACTACCGGTCTAGTTCATAGGCCCGAAAGCGGCTGTGTGTGAAATTCAAATATACATTTTGACCTTTTGTTTTCCTTTGATCTCATTTCATTCTCTAGATACAATCATTCTACTCTATGGTACTTCTGCAGTGAGAACAGACACTGGTGACTAAAACATTCAAAAAGAACAAGATTATTTATCTTGAAAAATTTTCTCTCTTTTTGTTATAAATGGCAATGTTGGGTGTAAAGGCTTAACTTGCCTTGAAGTGTCCAGCATATACAGCTCCAAAAGCTCCTTTGCCAAGTGGATGCATACGATCTATGGTCTAAATCATATTTTGAAGTTACTGCTTATGCGGAGGTGACAGTATGCGACAGAGGGTTTTTATGTGGAAGCGTTGAATACTGATATGCGTTAAAATTGGGCCATACAAATTTACATCAAATATGTAAGCAACTGTTGTCTAAGTTTTCCTTCTGCTTCTTCCTGAAGTATATTGCAATCTGCTTCTCACTTCCGAAGCCAAAATATTGGGAGAAACATTCATTCTTTCACTTTTGTCTTCTGTCAAACTAGCAACGCAATGCTTCGAGAATTAGGAATAGTACAAAGTTATACCTATTATCTTGGCATACCCCGCAAAATAAGCAATTCAGGGGGCACAACTAGAACCGAGCTAAGCTGGACATCGTTTTGGGGAGGCAAGCAAAGGCAATAAGTGGGTAAAGGTAATTTACGATATCCGGGGCGGTTCTCCGGCTCGAACACCGCCGAAGCGATATTACCTTTGCTTTCCTATTAAAGACAATGTCCAGCTCGTTGTTTACAACCAAAGCGCCATGGTATGGCACCCTGGCGTGTGCATGCCCCTATGGGAATTCGAATTGTGGCTCAAAGAATCATGAAAACTTATGTGAGTGAAAGCCGTGAAGGACCTTTCTCCGAATTAAATGGAACCGTTTTTGAGTTTTAGCTGAGCTGAAACCGACGCTTTGCTTATAAAATTTTCCATACTTCTACCATCTATTGTTCCTTCAGCGTAACAGTTTCATAATCTTTCCGTTAGACTTTTTTATAGTTTTCATTGGCGCCGCAATCTGTTTCGATCGCAAAGCGCACTCCCAGCAAATTTCCCTTATTCTCTTGTTATATGAAGGGGGAAGGGTCGAAAAAGATCAAAGAGACCTTGTAAAAAAATTATCATTGATGGGTGCATCTTTAATAAATCTCCCTAATATTAGCTGGTGCCGAGTCCTGAAGCCCCAACCTTTGCTGACTTTTTCTGCTTAAGTGCGTTCACACTACACGCATTTAAGTCGCCACGCGAATTTTTCAAACATCTTCGAATCCAGCACGGCAAAATACACATGCGTAGCAAAAGATTATTCTTTCGTAGATTGCGCCATGTATTCTACGCATTTGGAATGCGCTACGATGAGTTACGAACAATTCGAATATTGTCAAATCGCGTAGCAATTGAAACGTCTACCCGAGGTTTATGGAAAAGTCAACATGCCGCCTCTGCGGGTCGTAGTCCCTACTTATAAATGCATCGGCGGAGCGTGAGCATCCGCAGATGCGCACTCTGCAACAGGGGTAGGATGAAGGAGTCAGTATGAGGAAATTTATTACAACTTACTAAATCATTGCTGTCTACTTCAATGTCCTGACTACTTATTATGCAAAATTCATCTTTCGGGCATTTTTCAATGGGCTCATGTGGTTGGAGACGAATCTGGAAAGCTAATGTTATCTTTTGGTTTTCTCTATCAAACGTATACCTGTCTTGTTGCCGGGTCTTCAATTTCCTTGTCTTCTTTAACTTTCTCCTTTTTGACAGGCCTTTCAAATCTGTCAATGTATTCATTTATTTCCTTTTGTATTGCGATCCCGTTAACAGGCAATTTCCTTCTCTTTCCTTTATCTTGAAGACCTGAAAACTATGGCGACAAGTGTGCTCTTTCTCACTTCTGTCAAAAAATTTAGTAAATTACTTTTGAAGTATTAAACCAGCAATTTCTTAGATTTTAGGAGGCCTCCCACCATATGAGATCATAGTATTTGGGAAGCGGGTAATTTTTACGTAACTTTTTGCACTTTCGTAACCTGACCGTTTTAGTTGTTACTTGGCAGAAATTCTGTTTTGCTCAGCAGAGCTGCATTGCGTTTACAGCTTTACTTGAGCAGGGAAGATGCAACAAGAAAGGAAAAAAGCTCATTTTGGTTTACACATGGACATCTGATAAATGTACATTAATATGCAAAGATACCTAATGCTTTCAGTATCCTTTTGTGAGACTGCTTGTGAGGGTCTACTACCGTACGCGAAACATGTTGAAAGGGAAATTCCAATAGATTTGGCAGCACAGCCTAAATGCAATTAAGCAGCCTTAAAGTGAGTCAATTCGCTAACTCGACACTTTCCACTTATGGCAATGAGTTGAGCGACATTTGCAATAGTAATATGTATTAAGTCAGTCTACGGAAACATCCTTCAAGAGGGGATTGATGCAGTGTTAGTGGTAATTCATTCTAATTTACCTGGCGCAGTGACAGTAGTAAATCTGCGCTAATCATTTCTTTAGAAATTAAGTAACTGACCGACCTGATCGAATTGGCGAGCAGCCCACTGCTCGCAGTGCATTAGATTCGCTCTTGGATCACGATGTGGCTGTTTACATGGTGGAGGAACGGTGCAAAACGGATGTGAGATACTCTGAGATAAAAAACTTTACTCTTGTATTTTATCACGCAAACTTAAAGTCCACATTGGTCCTAAAAGTGAAATTTCCTTTTCCAGATTATCACTTTTCGGAGCTTTCTCGCCATGAAAAATCCATATTTGGGCTTTTCAAGGCATGAATGGCGAAAATGAACTTTTCTCGAAGCTTTTCAGCTCCGCATTCGGAAAATATGTGTATGTGGGCGGTGTCCGAAACGAGGTAGGCGGGGTGCGAAAAAATTCCGGCCGTATTTTCACTGAATGCGGACCCGGAAAAAATTTGAAAAGATTGATTCCCGCTACTTTCATGCGCTGAAAGGCCCATAGCGAGAAGGCTCTAAATAGGTATAAAACTGAAACCGAAACTTTGCCGAGACGCTGCCTTCAAACCAAAAAATTAATATCATTATATAACGCGTAAAAAATTCTGATATTCATGAGTCAATGCTCATATCAATGGAGACAAATGGCAAGTGTGTAGATACGTAAATACAGTTTCAAACATTAGGTTGTAAGTACGTTTGACTATGTGAAAATGATACAATACTTTTTCAAGAAACGAGATCCTTATTTAATGACATCGCTATGAGTGTAATCATTCGAGGCTCCGGCATAGGCGAGATGACGCCAAAATTTGGTCAACAAATAGTTGGTAGAAATCTGGACTGTTTACAAAACAATCTACGGAGCTAAAGTTTTATGAGTTTCCCTTCACATACTTTGGCAAATGTAGGTAGCACCGGATAACAAGATGTATTCGCACCACAAAGGACAACTGATGTAGGATGTTTCAAATTCAAAGGTGGTTTTAGTGCGAGTTTCTCTTCTAAAAAGGAAAGGAAGGTTGGTCGAAGTGACCTTTCAAAAGGAGATGTATACTGCCTTGTAGAGCTTCGAACGCTGACTCCAAATCTGCCTTCGTTATCTGCTGCGGGCTTCCAAGCGAGGAGTTATGAAGGTTTTTGTGAGTAAAAATCTGAATGAAAGAGTAGGCTAAAATTAGCCGTAACATTTTTTATAGGGCTTAATTGGTATTCGGGTCACTCAGACGCCTCATTTGAACGCTGGGAAAAGCTTACGACTGATTTTACCCCACTCCTGCATTCAGATTTTTACACAAAAACCTTCATAACTCATCGCCCAGAAGCCTGCAGCAGATAATGAAGGCAGATTTACATCTCATCTCAAAAGGTCACTTCGACCAACCTTCCTTCCCTTGTAGGTGTCCGAAGAAGACAATATGTGGGTAAACACATGTCAAAAGCTATTTACACCGTAACATATTCGACGAAAAAGCTCTTCTTTTGTGTATGCGCTTCATATAGGGTGCTTGGAAATCTGTATTTCTTATTTCCGATTCACCTCCACTACCCCAACGATTAAGCATAAATCAAGAGCGGTTGCGTTTACACTGAGATTTCATCTCTTTGTACGGCTTTCGCAAGCTGCTTTGAAGCATTTATTTTTCAGACTAATCAATAGGCATTGCAAATGTGTCAAAGACCTCGTCCTATAATGCTAATCGTGTTTGTCAGAGAAACAAGTCAAATCATTTTATACTGCATCAGTAGTCGCGAAATATGGTTCATCAAAATTCATATCTTCACTTGCAGAAGCAGGAACTTATGTACTGTAGGCTCAAATTCTGAGCATATTCTTTACACAAAATTTTGGGTTTACGAGTTTGTACACGAATCGTGGTAAGCAGACTGGGCGCCGTTGCCCCACCAATATAAAGTGCGGTTCATAATTATACGAACACCCCAAATTTTGAAAATTTTTGGACTTTTTAAAAGAAACTCGAAAAGCCGTTGATACCACGCGATAGAGCACGGCTGAAAACGGTATAGGATCCATAAGAATGGAAATCGATGTCAATCTGAGGGGTGTTTTTGCGCCTAATGCGAATTTATAACGGTTCATAATTATACCAACACCTCAAACAAAGGTCCATTTTTCATTCAAGATTGCAATCTTTCGAGTCCAAACTTTTTGTAGAGTTACAGTAACAAAGTCTGACATATCTGCTACACACTGCACCCAGTGCAGCTCAAAAAGAGGATCGTTACTTTTTCCAAATGGCTCTAAATGCTTTTGGAGTGATTGCGCCCCAAAAACATACGTTCTTCTATGGTTTACGCGCTCTAATTAGCTTGTATCAAGGCTATGAGATAAAATAAGCTCTTTCGATGGATATTTTGTTTGATGCTTAGAAAATCTATGCGTTTTCGTACCGTTTTTCAACCAAGTTCCAACCTTACCCTAGAGTCAGCACGATTTCGAGTCTCAAAACTCAGCTTCGGAAGCCCTACAATGAAGTAAGCAGATGGTATGTAGAAGTTCACAACACTATGTATTTGGCTAGAAAAAAATCAGCAGCGTTGAGCGCTTGTTTTGGCCACGCAGGCGTCATTTCACCAAAACCACTGTTTTTACTACTGCAATCAAAACTTTATTTGGTTTTTTGCTCCATAGCTTCAAGAACAGTCCTACAAAAAACGCAAAAACGTTGGCACGGATACATCATCATGCAAGAAATGCAGTTGCTTCATATCAAATGTTTGCGCGGGAGAGAAGCTGATAAGGGAACCGTGTCGAGTCGAAGTGGCCTTTCCAGATGAGACCCATACTACTTTGAAGAGCATTAATCGGTGATTCCAAATCTGCTTTCCAAACGTGCCAAGCTCCTCTGGACGCCCAGTTATGCTCGTTTTTCAGGTCAAAAAATTGAACGCAAAACGGAAGCAAAATTGCCCAAATTTGCTCAAATGGTCCAATGTCAAGTGTAAGAGCTGTTTACGCAATGGATACATTTTATTCAATATGCTAATACTTAACATTGCTTTATCTGAGCGCCTGAAAGATTGTAACAATCAATTTTACCTAAGTTCTGCATTCATTTTTCGTTCCGAGGAACGGTCATAACTCGGCGTCCAGAGGCGCTTGGCAGATTTGGAAGGCAGATTTGGAATCATCGCTTAACACTCTTCAAAGCAGTATGGGTCCCATCTAGAAAGGCCACTTCGACTAGACACGGTTCCCTTGTGAGTTTTGAGGCTCGAAATCGTGCTGACTCTAGGGTAAGGTTGGAACTTGGTTGGAAAACGAACGAAAACGCATAGATTTTCCAAGCGTCAAACAAAATATCTATCGAAAGAGCTTATTTAATCTCATATCCTTGGTACAAGCTAATTAGAGTGCGTAAACCACAGAAGAACGTATGTTTTTGGGGCGCAATCACTCCAAAAGCATTTAGAGCCATTCGGAAAAAGTAACGATCGTCTTTTTGAGCTGCACTGGGTGCAGTGTGTAGCAGATGTGTCAGACTTTGTTACTGTAACTCTACAAAAAATTTGGATGTGAAAGATTGCAATCTTGAAAAATGGACCTTTGTTTGAGGTGTTCGTATTATTATGAACTGCTAAAAATTCGCATTATGCGCAAAAATACTCCTAAGATTGATATCGGTTTCCATTCTTGTGGACCGTATACCGTTTTCGGCTGTGCTCTATCGTGTGGTACCAACGGCTTTTTGAGTTTCTTCCAGAAAGTCCAAAAACCTTCAAAATTTAGGGTGTTCGTATAATTATGAACCGCACTTTAGTTTAAGCATAAGAGAGGCAGCAGATGGTTAGAGAAATGAAAGCGCTAGATCAGAGAGACGCCGATACGTTCGCCGTCTTTGCATGCTACGAATCGTCTACAAGTTGGAAATGCGCAGACTGAAAAGCGATAACTTGCTGGACTGACCGTGGAAAGGGTTTCATATATCAGTCTGTGAGGTAATTCAGAGTCCGTTTGCGAAAGATGGTATACGAGATCGTACAAAGTGTGATATCTATTTCCAAACAATTCGAAATGTCCAAGAAGAGATCTCGTAATAGTTAGCATCTGCAGTGGTGCAAGGATTATAACTTTTACTTATAAGGTGAGTAAACCTTGATTGTGAAAGGTGATGCGACTAATTCAGCAATGCTGTCCAGGTTCTTTTCTTTGTCGTCCTCTACTCGGTTATCAGCTGGAGCATCTACGAGATGATGCTCCTCATCATGAGCATGCTGCAAAAGCGTATCAGATCTAGATAGTGGAGTCTAATCAAATTCTTACTTTGGCTTTGACTGGGAGAAGCGTTGATCGTTTCTTTTTCTTCAATTTTTCTTGCCCTTCTTTGGCAATCTGCTCATTTTTGGGGTTAAGACAGTTGCATACTGCAAGTTCATATGAGTAAAACTCAGCCCCACGAAATTTTGTCACATCTGCAACGCGCAACTACTCCATTATTAAGCTCGCGGTGACTGGAAGGGATTCACCTGCTCGCTCAGCTTTCAAAATTTCTTCACTTTTTCCAGTCTTCTTACATAGAAACATTAGCAGAAAAGGGCGGTAATCGTTCGGATCCGGATTCAAACAAAGAGGTGAAAAGATCACAAATACCCCTCAAATAAAGTTTAATCTAACCACCATAATTTTGAACACGAGGAAAATTGTACCAATTGTGATCGCTAAACAGTATGTACCTGGCCTTTGAGCAGAGCGGTCGCTCATAAGATATTGATATGCCACATCAACGTCGCAAATTCCCAAATACCAGAATGACTGAGAGAAAAGTGCAGGATTTTCTGAACAAGCCTCACATTGAACATATTGAAATTGTACAGTACAAATGATAGAACATTCAGGATCTACGCCAAGAAAATCTAGATCTCTACATTTTCGTCTTCCTCTTCAACCTTCTACCTACCCGAAAATTGTACATGCACGAAAATCTTAGTTTTTTTATCACATCAACGGATTCACAAACAAAAGACAGAAGTTGCTGTTAACACTGCTCTTATACAGACTTCAACACTTTGAAGGGAGTCAGTGCAGGGATTTTTTGTAGCACAAGCATATGATTCATTCAAGTTGCTCGAGACTATACAACTGTTACTGCGCATTTGGCGCATATAAAAACCGTTACGGTCGGTTTACTGCTAAATATGTGATAATCAAACTCCAAGCAGACCATTCAGATAAGTAGCTATTACTGATGCTAGATTAAGTTGTAAGCGTAAGCCAACAAATGGGTATGAGAGTTTGTTGAGTTTAATGAACATTCCGTAGATCATATTCAGTTCTCAAATTTGCCATTGCTTTTATAGCTATCAGCTGAAAGCTAAAAGTCTTTATACCACTATGAAGAAATAAGATATACCTGCGAACTGTCTATAAACGAACACTAGAATGGTTTGCCTAGCTAGAACATTTCGACTGCGAGGAGCAGGAAATTATTGAATGACATGGCTATTATAATTATCTTCTAATTCCGATTTCGTGATCTCACGTCACTACTGTCGTTTATTCTCTCAAAGCCTATACTTCTTCAGCTGGTATTCACAAGCTGATAAGACCTTTTGGATCCGGAATACTCTACTTTGAGGTGCGAAGATGCCATTCCAGTTACATTGGCAAGTAGTGAAGCAAGTGAACTCTTTCGGTACGCACTTATTGTACCCGTCACTCTCCTTCACCGTTCGACGATCAAGTAACGTTTGTGATATGCGTGAGCAAGTCATTATGTTCTCAAGTGCATTAGGTGCAGAAGTTGCATATTCTACCAGTAACTGTCTAAACACCTGCCTTGATAAAACTTCTTCGCGACAAGCCAACAACTTGGTATTAATCCAAGAGCAGCTCTGGAACCACTTGTAGGATTGCGCACCAAACTCCAACGCAGTGGCAATCTGAGGTGTTCTCTAGCAGAAAGATGTCGTACTCTAAAAAGAGTTCCTTTCGAATAGCAAATCATAGTGATAATTGCGATATTATTAGGTGATTCCTCAGAATTTCCGCTTCTTCAAATTTTCGCCTTTCCTTTCCTTTGCATCAAAGGATAGGCTTTTCCTTTGCGTCAAAAGATTCAAAAGTGACATGACTTTAGTTAGTAGGGGACATACATATCTTTATTTTTAGGATCAAGATGTGACTAGTTTCGTTTTGCAATATGTTTTGGAAACACATGGTTTGCTGATGATGGCAATCTATCAGTTAGGTCCGTAAGCTTTGCATCAATATTTATTTCATTATTTCATAATGCGATAAGGTATAATTTTTATGTTCTGTATATTTCCGGGATATTATTCGACAGGGCAAAGTAAGTTTTGTAAATGGTGTTCGAATCTATGCACCGATTTTTACCCATGCGAAGTTTGAAGAAAAAAGACTAAAAAGTCGACACGTTCTCAAAGAAAAATCATTAAGCTTTCTGAAAATACCTACGAATCTCCTACTCGTTCACGCTATATTCGCATACTAGATGGCTTACCCGGCTCCGCCCGGCCCTGTCAATAATATATTTGTAATCAGCATGCTCGATTACCCCCCTGTGCCAACTCCCAGCCCTGTAGCTTAAATTTTGCAAAAACTCGATAAAATCGATATCGATCGATGACGAAAAGTAGCCTATGACACCCGCCGGGGCCCGAAGTGTATGTGTGCCAAGTTTGGTCCGGATCGGTCCAGAAATGGAATTTTCTATTCGGAACATACGTACAGACAGACATACAGACATACAGACAGACAGACAGACAGACAGACAGACAAACAGACATTCAGCTTTATATATAAGATAAACATGTATATATGTAGTTGCTGTATCAGACTCGGCAAAGCAAAGCAATGCTGAGCTATTTCTATAGAATTGTATGTTAGAAGTCTTTAGTACATTCGCGCTGTTTTTTCAACTTTCTACAAAAGCCAGTTTTCAAACTCCACGACACTTACTGTTAGTGCTCATGTCTTTGCAAGCAAAGCACATTTTCTGTCTACCATCTGATAGAGCTCCATACGCTTTGTGCATCCATATGCAGCTTACCATAATTTTCATTTCGTTTTCGGAAAATATAGGCTAAAACATGATTTTTTGATCATTTATTGCGCTAAAAGGTTGCAGTTTTTCAATTTTTCTGCGTTTATCACCTGAAAACACAGAAAGCTTCAGGATGCTCTGTCTACCATTCGAAGGGGCTTGAAGAGCTCTTTCAGATAGTATGTCATTTGCATGAGATTTACACGGTATAGCAACGCGAGACAGAGACGTTTAAAAAACCGTGTCAGTGCTATTCAAAGCGCCACGCCGAAACTCAGATAATCGCCGGGGGCAGGCGGCCATGCGAATTTTGAGCAAGCGCGCACCGGAAAAATAGTTCATTGATTTTTTGCGGCCCGCTTGCAGAAATTTGGAGGAAAGTTGGCGAAATTGAAGACGAATGCTTGAAGAACAATCGCGATTTCTTTATGGATTACCTGCGGCGCAGTGGCCGCATTCTCGCGGACTTTCCGCGAGAATATGCAAAAATTTCGAGGGCCGCACGGTCCTTTGTGGAGGACCGCGCAACCCCCAGGTACTTTCCGCTGAGAGAAAGTACCTCAAACTTGAGTAATTAAACCAACGGTGACACCTCTGCCACACAGAGTCTTACCTGTGCTCGACGTACGCCCGAAAATGCCTAAAAAGAGTCCGAGCGCTTGTTGAAAGTTTGGCCAGCGTTCGCTGAAAGAAATTATTTGCCGAGCGCTTGCAAAAAATGCTGTATTGCTGCCGGCTGGCAGAATATGCGACCGTAAAGGAAGTGCAGCCCGCTGAAGGTTTGGCCACGCCCCAAAATTCTGCTGACCGCCTGCAGAAAAGCGCGAGTTTGCGGACCGCCTGCCCCCGGCGATTATCTGAGTAGGCGAAGGTCGCTTATGTAAATGACGTTTGAGGGTGCAGCTTGCGTTTGTTAATCGAAATAAAAAACCTCAAAATGTAGTAAAAATCGAGCTGTTCCATTCTTTTCCGTTCAGTTTAATACTGCTACTAATGTTATCACAATCGGACTGTGGTATATGGGTAGTTAAGTACTTATTACAAGCGAAATAAACTTACTGATATTCTTCAGCCACAACATTGAGTTGCGTTCCTGCCCAGCAGTTTATGTCTAAGCAGGTATCTCCGCTAAAAAAGTCCCATAAGCAGATACATTCAATTTCTACTGGCTTCTCACATAGAACCATAGGTGTGAAGGCTGCAGCCTAGGTATGCAGTCTATCACTGCGTGTCAACGTTAAGTGGCAAATGATCAGTTTAGACCTGGTCGGGCTCTGTGAATAGCACATCATCACATAGTAAACGTCCATCAAAGTCAAAGCCTAGTGAGAGTAAGGTCTTCTTTATACGTTCTGCACGATTTCGGCCATTTCGTTCTTCCTCGCATAGCTCATCTGGAGGCTGTACAGCTATAAGCATAGACCAATAGATGGCACTCTAATGTTTTACTTCAATTGAGAACTGGGAAAGCGCGATAGCGAGTCCGGAGTAGTCAAATAGACACATAATCGTACTTACAAGCGATTTACCTTGCTTTATTACTTCGAGCAGAGTACACGCGCTTTCATCGCCTCGTGATTCTAACCGGACAACTGCTACGAGTCCATTGCATCCCAGTCAAGTTGCATTTCGGCTGTGATAATTTTCCGACACGGTCAATGGTGACTAACTATCATAATCGAGATGCAAATTGATCGGCATGCAATAAACTTGTAACAGTTGCCTTGTGGGAGGATCGCCAGCAAAGAAATCGCTTGAACTCTGCCCGAGGTCATTGAGTATTTCTAGTCGTTGCAGCATAGCTTAGATCAATGTAAAACATGAAATATAGCGATTGCAGTCGTCGTGCAAGTGAGTATTGCTGCGATTACTCGCACTTCTTCGTAGGTGCACTTCGCACGTGTGACACATTTGCGTCATCTCACATGCTCAATAATACGCAGTTTGATAATGCATAACTCTTCCGTCCCAGTCTTTTGGGCTTCCAAGGTGCCATACTTGAAGGCAATGATCGGCAGATTCGCGCCTTGGGCTATATAGTTGTGGTGGCGTTCCTATTCACCCCACTAACCTCCAGGCCCAGTTCGGCTGGTCGATGTTACCCGCGCCGAGAAATTAGCCCTCCAACCGGCGTGCGCAACCTCAAAGCCCTCAGACGGTTTTGCTTGCCTGTTGTGCGCACCCCAGCGACCGCTCTTTTTGCTTTGAATAGCACTGTGCATGCTATTCAAAGCAAAATTCACAGGCGGTGAGTTCATCGTGTCAGGACCTTCCAGCTTTTCATTGAAACTCTGGTGCGAGCTGCATATTGAAACTGGATACCCCCCCCCCTCGAAAGGGTCTTTTCACCCATTCAGAGCTCAAATTCAGGTTCTACGTGTCGAAAAGGCCTAAAACATGCAGAACGGTGGAAATGCAAAATCTTTCGGGACATTGCCTCCAAAGACTTGCTAGAATTTAGGTGTACGAACAACGTTACTCCACGTTACTGTAACATGAGGCTGAAGTCATCAGCATTTGGTGGGATTAAAACTACTTATTTTTTCAAGAATTAACAAGAGGTATTCAGGTAGCGCAGCTAGCGCATGCGTCGACAAACACGAAAGCATTCGCAAGAGGAGTGAGCATATTCCGTTCGAGTCTCTCGATCGGATCTAGATTTAATCTGGCTACCATCCGAATGAGGTGCCCGCGCAAGTGAGACCAGTAAGTTGAGCATAGAGGATGGCATTCTAAGTGCAATATGGACATCAGAACAAAAGAGCCATACTGCTAAATAATGGGACACTCTTACGACACATGTATTCAATCACGAATTATCTAGCTTTGCTTCTCGACAGTCTGAATAAATCACTAATCTGTGTTTGCATAGCTTCGATAGGTATTGACAAAGTGCATATATAAACAATTTTTAGACCTGGTTTTGGTTTTGAACATCACTTCTGCCATCGTGACCTTATTTGCATTCTATGCATTTATATATATTCCTCTCCAAAGCATGAAAGTTTACTCTCTTTTCCTTTTATTTCCTGCATTCCTTTGCTGCCGTCAGTTCATCATAGCCGAGAAAAGCGAAGGAGTTGCTGGTCACATAAACACGCAAGTAAGGTAACGGACGACATTTTTGGCACGACTCCTGTATCATGTAACTTAGACCCTGAACAAAAAACAGCTTCTCCACATGCACAAAAGACTCCATGCAAATGAGGAAAAGATTACAAAGAGACTCAAGCTCAATCCACAACGACAAGCAATCCTTCATAAAATTGAAAAAGTCAGGCGAGAAGCTCTTTTATGAATTTAATTTCCAACGCAATTTATCCTCTTTTTAGAAACTGTGCCAAGTAGAACAGGTACAGCCTAGTCCAATTGGTGATATAGTGACCATCAACGAGAACGAAGGAATAGGAAAGCTCTTGTTCGAGAGTGATATTCTCTTGACTGAGTACGAATTCTACCCCTAACTATAAGATATACTAATAAGAGAACAACGCAGACGGCAAATGGAAGAGATTTCAAACGAGAATGGACATGGTCGAAAGAAACGCCAAGCATTTAAAGATAAGGATTATCCCCAGAACCTCTGGCCTGATGGCATAGTACATTTTTCCTTCCATAATAACACAAGTGAGAGGTTCGATTTGCTTTAAAAAAGAAGTAAGCTTTGTTCAGCTAACAAACTACGCGACCTCTTCAGACACGGCGCTTTGAAATGGCAGAGGGAGACTTGCCTTAGCTTCTATGAGTATATCCACGGTACGCTGTATGTGGCTACATGCAGCCTCTTTAGACGTGCCTTTATTTAGCACCAGAACGCATCGAGCTGAAGAATGACTCCGGCTGCTGGTCATACGTGGGAAACGCACACAAAATACAAACGCTATCTTTGGGAGAGGGATGTGAAACGGTGAGCCTTCACACTTTTCCCCGGTGTTGGTATGTCGCGAAGCTATCCTTTGTTTCGGCGGGCTTGGCGGCTGGGAGGCGGAACTTACAAGAGAAGGATACCTGGTCGAAGCGGCGTTTTCATATGAAATGAATAATTTATAGGGCACGGAACGCTGATTCCAAATCTGTTTTCGGTACCTGCAAAGCGCTTCTGAGAGGAGAGTTATGGGAATCCTCTGAAGTATAAATTCAAGGGTTTAGCTAATGTAAAAACAGGTGTTAAAGTCTTCCCGAAGCTTGAAAGGAAAAACGATTAACATGCGTTCATTAAACTGAAGATCTTCATTGCATAAAGCGTCCTGGCTCTATTTGAGTTCACAGACTACAGTTCTGAATGATTTTTTCCCGTAACCACGAATTCAGATTTTTCTTTAAAAATCCCCATAACTCCCCTCCTAGAAAGGCTTTGCAGATATCGAAGGCAGATTCGAAATCAGCGCTTTATGCTCCATAAGATGGATTATATTTCATTTGGAAGCCGCTTCGAAAAAGTATTCCTTATTAGAGCGCACGCTCGAGAGAGAGAGAGAGAGAGAGAGACGCGGACTGCATCGAAGTGCGAGCAATCGCCTCCCAGCCGCCAACCCCGTTGGATCAAAGGGTACATGCAAGTCAGTACCTACAAATTTAGAGTTATCGCAGACATGCGGCTCTATTCTGTACGCAGGTAAACTTGTGTTAGGGTTAACGTAATATAATTATTCTAACTGACACTGCATCAAGCAACCCCTTGAATGCTGGCGCACTCCGCAGAGAATATGAATGCTTTAATTTTTGTATCCTCTCATTTTTTGATATGTTAACTTGATAGTGTGTTCAAGCGACCACTGTCAATTTTGCAATCAAAACGTCAGACGTATTTTTTGTGAGTGACTATTGACACAATACTGTAGACTTTGCGATGTTGAATATCGAAGCTTAAAACAAATACATGGATGCATAGAATGTCAGAGTTATACAAACAGATTGGTACCGCTGCACACGAAATAGGTCACGCGCTCGGCTTTTTCCACTCCCATGGAAGACATGATCGTGATGAGCACATACAAATCGATGAAACCAAAGTCAAGGTAAACAGCATGAAGCTCCTATCATTGCGTGACTCGATAACCTAGTTGCAGGCTGGTGAGCATGATCAATTTACCAAACGAACTAAGGAGACTAATGACAACTATGGTATTCCTTATGATTACGGCAGCATAATGCATTACAATTCGAAAAGATTCGTCTTAATGCACAGAAATAGATTAAGGAGTTTTCTTCCAGTTTCTCGGCGGACAAGACCCGCCTCGACACAATGATACCTCTCGACAGAAAATACATTGACACTATTGGCTCACATTTCATCTCGTTTTACGACAAGCTCATGATGAATACTCACTACAAATGTCTGGGTGAGTTGACGACTGATAGAATGTTCAAAAAGCTCCGCCAATAAAGGTGATACTATTATGTTTCATCTATATATTCGTCAGAAGTCTCTTAAGCGCGATATTTTGATTCTTGGCATCTGCAAGCTACTAGCTGAGCAGGAAATGTTCAGAACTTAACCCAGCCGTTTCATACAAGCTACATATCATCGGACTTGTCATGAAACCTGATCTCAAATAGACATACGTTTGTTATCCGGACGACTTGCTGCGAATATTTGAGCGTTTGAACGTGCGATTTGTTGCTTTTGTAGCGCACTTTTCACGAAAAACATTTCAAAAACACATAAAACCCATATTTAGGTTTCTGGTTGATGTGTTTCCTCCTTAAAAGTAGAATTCTCGTGATCACTAATTACGCGTCCTCAGGCCGTTTTGCAACAAATTATATTCGTTCGAATTCGAAAAATTTCTCATATCTAAACGCTTATAGCTCCTTCCATATTGGCTCGACACTTGAAAAACATATTAGGTTGAACCGAAAGTCCGTTCGTGCCATTTTCAGAAAATCGTAACATCTTTCTCTTATGAAAATCTTGCCCGACAAAATAATACAGGAAGAGCAAAGAGTATACTTTCTAAGGCCTCGGGCAAAGTTCACGCGATTTGATCGTCGCGAATGATCGCAACAAGACAACTGCAACAGTATCATTGCATGCAATCTTCTTGCATTTCGGTTGTGATAATTTTCCAACACGACTAATCGTGACTCTATCACAACCGCAATAAAAGAAGATCGGCATGCAATGTACTCGTAACACTTGACTTGTAGCGAATGCAGGAATTGCGACGATCAAATCGCATGAAATCTGCCCCGAGGCCTAAGAGAACCTTGCTTGCCTCTTATTAAGCTTTGGTTGCAGGGATAAAATTGGGAAAAGGAAATCACTTCAATTTTGGAATTTTGAGGCAAGCCCGTCAAAAATTCCCAAATTGTGCCATAAAATTTGAAACAGGCAAAATCTTAGTTTTTTTTTATCCGTTCTTTCTAGTGGAATGAAACTAGCACTGATTAAGCTGTTCTTTGAAAACTTATGTTTTTGAAAAAAATGTCATAAAGTCAATTTTCTTAAGAAACTTTTTTTGCCATTTTTTCCCAAAAACCATAACTTCTCAAAGAACAGCTCAATCAACGCGAGTTTTGCTCAGCTAGAAAGAGGGTGTAAAATAATCTATGCAGCCTGTTTTAGAATTTATGGCACAGTTTCGAAATTTTTAAGCGGGCTTGCCTCAAAAGTCCGAAATTGAAGTGATTTCTATTTCCTAATTTTATCTCTGCAATCAAACTTAATAAAATGCAATCAAGGTGTCCTTAGAGAGTGTACGCTTTACTCTTCCTAATGTTATTTTGTCGTGTAAGATTTTCGTGAAAGAAAGAAGTCACGATTTTCTGAAAATGGCGCGAGCGAATCATCAACTGAACCTTTATATGTGAAAGCAGCGATTTAAGGCTAGTCCCATAATTTATAGCTTGTTTGTAATGGCTGGATTAAGTTCTGTTCATTCCCTCTGAGCTTGTCAGTGTTGCTGTCCTTTCTGTAACGCCCTGGCGGCGTTACGATACAGATAAAGTCCTCGACTTTTCGAAAGCTCGATAAAAAAAAGTATTTCGTGCCCTAAAGAAGCGCCTGTGTCGGAGCATTCTGACAAAGATGATGTTAATAGCTCGGCTTCCCAATCAAGATTCTGCAAGTACTGCGAATCTACATTATGGAAAGTGCGTTTTCGCAATCCTTGCTGCGATTTATTGAAACCTTTTTCAAGTGGTATTCAGGCGTATATAAGATAATCAAAGCTGATTAGCCTTTTCGATAACTGACACAAGTGCACATCAAAAACCTTTCATACCTGCGCCTTTTCTTCGCGTTTCACTTTTCGCTTCATTGAGACAATTGGCAGAACTTTTTGAACATCCTAATAACAACTAAATTGAACACAGAAAGATTAATCTAATAACACTTCCATGAGTAAATGTAGACAAATGCAAGTCAAATAAATCGGCTGCAAAATGCGCAATGGGAGGATTTCCAAATCCTAAAGATTGCTCAAAATGCGTTTGTCCTGGAGGCTATGGAGGCACGTTATGCAACGAAAGGGTAGAGTTATTATTGTTTTATGACAAGCAGCGGCTGTAAAAAAAGAGAATTTCTAGCCAACAGGTTGCGGAGAAATCTTGCAAGCCACTACAGATTACACAAAGTTCGAAGACGTTATTGGTTACCCAGGAATCAAAGGACTCAACGATAATGACTTTTTCCTCAAATGCAACTACTGGATTGAGGTGGGTACTGTGCCGCCTATGAGCGGAACCAGAGCCCGGCAGGAGGTGGCAATTCAGAATTTTGAAAACGATATCCCCTTTGAAGCCAAAATTTCTTACGACTTCCCCTTTGACCCTATTTTTGACCCCCGTAAGTCCCTGACAAACGGATATATCGTCGACTCTAAAAATCGTGACGACGGTCTGCAGTGCGGCCAGTGCGCGCCGCACGGCACTGCCACCTAGTGATTCGCCCAAATTACGTGGAGAAGGTGAGTTCTTGTGGTTTTTCTTTTTCTTTTTGCATCTTTTTTGCTTGCAGGAACTTTCATGGCTATCGCAGGGAGCCTACACTGCAGAGAAGCAAGATTGCCCTACGATAAAGCGGCAGTGCCCTGCGGCGCGCACTGGCCGCACTGCAGACCGTCGTCACGATTTTTAGAGTCGACAATACACAAATATAAGATGGGCGCCTCAGCGCTTATTATAGTAGTACTACCTGGCTTTCCTGGTCCAGCCCGGGTCATCAAGGTTTCAGCCCAAAGGGTTCATCCGCAAAGGAATCTATATATCATAGGGTCAAGATTTGCACAAACTTTGACGTTTATATATCTAACAATAAGATACTACTCATTTACTAGTCAGCTGCGAAACTTAACAATTTACATTAACCGATTGCGATTGGAGCGCGCTTTCCGAGGCCGATCATAACGCTGTGAACCCTATTTGGGGCTGTATCGAAGCGATGCCTTGGTGGTTTTGGAAGCGGATTTGAACATATAGTAATACTCTCGACCTTGTCCACAATTATGTAAAGAAATCCGGGAAATTATGTGAAGGGAAGCAGGGAGCCACCCCAGGTGACTCCCAGGTGGCGCGGGAGCCACCTAATTTCGAAAAACACTTACCATTTTTTAAATTCACATAAGTTTCTCATAATTCTTCATACTTTTTTTGTGCTCATGGTCCTCCAACTACACAGCAAATTTGGTGCGATATCGTTACTTGTGCATTGAAAACGAGCCTATTTTGTTATTTTCCTCTTACAAGAATTGCGATTTGAATTCCCGCCTGCGGGCAGGCTAGCGATCGGAGCACAGAATCTTCACATTGCTGGAATCTAAGTTCGTAGGACAGTAGCATCAACACGGAATGATGAATAAAGAATGATATGTGCATTGTTTATCGGTAAACAAAGGGGAAGTCGTATTTTGGGGTCCGGGGCTCCGCCCCGGACCTTAAAATACGACTTCCCCTTTGCTTTTTCGGGCCAAAAACGATATCCAGCTTGTGAAAGTGCCACCACCGCCGGGCCCTGAGCGGAACGATTTGCGTTCTTGTAGGTCCCACTAGGACGATACGTTGAAATAAGGTTTGATAACTTCACGGATCTTGACGCTGTGGGTAAGTCCTATGTTGGTGGATGCTATTTTGCTGGATTTGAAATTAAAGCACAGAAGGATCAACGTACCACCGGCTATAGGCAAGTACTTGTTATAGTTCTGCATTGTTGAGGTTGAAGTGTGTTGCAATAGATTTTGCTCTCGTACCTATGCGGGTGAAGTGTTCAAATCAGCAAAGAACATTGTACCTATCATCACCTACAGCAGAGTCTGGCCAGTGAAGACAGAACTACGGTACCGAATGGGTATGTCTGTTAACTACTGCACTGTTTTGGCAGCAAACACTCAATGCAATTTTCAGTTTGACGAAGTGCGTCGACGAACATCCCATGCATCGTCGACATTAAAAGCTCCTGAGCCTTCTTTGCCAATCAAATTTGTATGTGATGTAAACTTTCAAAAATCGAGAAGTGAGTGTGATTAAAGGCACCGCTTAAGGAAAGACCAATGACAAGTTTATTTGGGGAGGGGGGGGGGGCAGTAACCGCGGCTATATCCTCGTAATCATTAAACTCAATGCGCAGTACATTTGAAAGACCCCTCTCCCTTGGTCCTGCGCCTTCGTTCGGCAGAGACTCTTGAATGAGGGTAACAAAAAAATAAACTTGGTGATGAAGCCATCATAGTCAGTATACTGCTGAAATGTTGAAAAGGGCTTTGATCCTGATACTAGTCAAGTTGCAAACTAACTCTTTCGTCTTCTCCCACATCTTCTGCTAGTTAAATGTGCAGCACTCAATTTCGCTCATGCAGGATATGTGAGCTACAATTTAACTGTCTAATTTTTTGTGAAAGAACGGTAAAAAAAACTTGGGCACTTTACAATTCTGGAACATTTCATGGTTTCACTAAATTGCAAGAGAAAATGAAGCCGTAACCTGAATAGTCGAGCCAAAACTGTTGACGAGTTGGTAGAGAATGAGTCACTAAGCTCAGTGAAGAAGCATGCAAACTAATTGAGACCTAACGCCTTCGGGAAGTTGAACAGAGTCGTTTTGGAGAATACACGCGGACTTCCGTCAGTAACTAAAGAGGAAATCTGATTTGCCGGAGCTTTTCATGACGGAGAGACTTCACCTAGTAAACACAAATGTCATACATTCGCTGTCAAATTGACAATTTTTGGACGCTTCTTTATTAGCCGCACAGCGCATGAGGGGCAGAATTTACAAAGGTCAGGATACGCGCACGCTGCGTTCGCGCCCGCTCAACTAATACTGCTTCTGCGCCTTCGTCATGCAGCACCTTTAGAAGCTGGACAGGAACAGAAAACCGTTGTATAGAGATAGGGAATTTTTATCATGGTCCTGACGACCCGAGCGAAGCCATGTAAGCCAGCTAGGAGCCTTTATAAGAAGTGGTGTGTTGACACGGTCAAACTTGCAGGTTTGCAAGTGGAGTTCTACAAATGAGGGAAACATTCTTGAGATCAGCATCAGCATTTAGAGAGATGGTTTTTCTTGCATGGCAGTAACCAGCAGCTATCGTTTTTACTGTCCCACCACATCACGCAAATCTTTCGTGCTTCCCTTTTGCTTAGTGAAAAAGGTGCAAGGTGTGTCGCGCGTGGCGGGATCGTGCGTAAAATCTGTGATGGCATTACGGTCGCGCGAACTGGCGTACTCCTCAGCTTTCGTCACTGATTTCAGCGATAGACGAGATATCTACGGCCACTTTGATTAGCAGTGCTCTCGTTGTTAGCTTTACCTAGTAATAACTGCAAATTATACAGGTCCGCCAGTGGTAGGGTTTCAAGACATTCACCATTTTAGAGGCACCCTCCACCCAGATTGAGGTTGGTGAGATTTTGACAGTGTATAATAGTCCCCCACAAAGTAATCGCCCAAGTCTCGCTGCACAAGATGTTTTTTGAAGCAAATGCTCCAAAAGTTAGAAGCAGCCTGGGTAGTTCCGCCCATCAACGGGGTGATCTGAAGATAAAAAGTCCAAATTGAACTTTAATCTAACTAGAGTTGTCGAAAAATCGTCCTTTTATGAGTGTCAGATTTTTGGAACTTTCATCTACTCTGATGTCCACTTTCGAGCTCATTATCTTCAGACCACCTGCGTCAACGGGCTGAGCTATCTGAGCCTCCTCCACCTTCTGGACCGATTTTCTTGCTTTAGAATTCATCACCTGCTGCTAGAGCTGGGCGGCGATTACCTATTTGGGGCCACTATCCTATAGCATCAAAATCTCAAAATCTCCAGTCTGGGTGAACGGTGCCTTCAAGGGCAAAGTAAGTACAAAGTGCCTCACTGTGCTTCAGTTTGTCGTGATTATTCGTTTCAAAATTTGTGAAAGAGAGTAGAGTCGCTGAGAAACGACACACTTCCCTAACCATGCACTTCAATTTTTTGTGCATTTTGCAAAACTTCAAAATAGGCAGGTCTAGGAACTATTAGTCGTAGTTCGCTGTTGGATATTCCACTACTTCCTTTGGATAAAAGAACGATTTTGAGAGAATCAGGGCCTTGCTTACGCATTTGGTAGGGTGTGGAATGACCCATGTGACCCATGCCATCTGGTGCATCCTAGCTAGAGTTCATCCTTGTAAAACCTTGTGCAAACTTGGTAGACTTGAATTTGGAGTTCTGCCAACTGTCCTTGAATCTGCCGTACGCAAAATACATGTGGCCATTTTTTCCGAGAAGCTAATTCTGCCAGGACAATGACTATAATTGTAAGTTGCGAGTGACTCAACGATATGCTATAAGCATGCATTGAGTATCTAAAGGCTTGTGAGTTGAGGTGAAGGCAGTGGATACAGTCTATGTCTTAATTTCTTTATTTTGTTTTACTTTACCTGACTCAACTTAGATGAACCAGGAAGAAACGAGATAGAAAAAATATCTCGAGCAAACATGATGCCAGCCAGTCTTAAGCCTCAGGGGGTGAGTGAAATAATGATTTGTTTGTCAATGTAAGATGTATCGTTTTTCACCGGCTGTACCCTTCTTCACAGTGTTAGAAGAAGATTTACGGCTTGAAGCTAAAGCTAATGACCTGGACTATTTCATTCTTAACACATTTACGACAAGGCCGATTTTCCAGTCACTGCCGTTTTGGACCAGAGCTCTTTTCGCTTTGTCAAACATGCAACCAGGGTTGAGCTTGGGGTCAGGCCTGCCCGAACTGAGGGGTCGTATTGGGGGGGGGGGGGGGAGGAAACGGAACTTACAGTCGCTTCATTTCATATGATCATGTGTGCCATTGCACACGCAGTCCACTTTGGCGTCCTCATCGTGGATTTGCGATCGCAAAAACGCAAGAGACTTACCGATTGTTATCGATTACATCAATTGGAGTGACTAGTAATAAGACAGAAAGAAAATGCTAAGAACACCTTGGAAACACTTACCTGAAGGCTTGTTTCTCCCACGAATCCAGGATGGGGACGCCAAAGGTGAACTGTGTGTGCAATGACACACATGATCGTATGAAATGAAGCGACTGTACCTACCCGAAAGACTTGCCGCAACATAACCAGAAGGGTCGTGAGGTGTAGGCAATGCTAATCAGCACCGTATGCAGAATCGATCTCTACACACAGTAAACTCCGTTCTCATCCAGCAACGCATGAACCCGGAATCAAGCTGTAATTTGAACTGAAACTTCAGTATCCACATATGCCCTATCGAAGTGAAAGGTGGTAACTTAGGATTTTTTAAGTTGTTCGCGAAGATAGCAGCCCTGTTTTTGATGTATTTCTTACAGTAGACTTTGTTGTGAATTTGGGAAGAGAAAAGGAACGAAACTGTTCCGATTAAGAAAACTGGCTGAATCGAATTCTATCAAACTAGTACATTCCAACATTTTCAATTCAACAAACAAAAATAAAATTGATACTCTAAAACTGAAAATGACTCCGAACAGATCAACTCTGCATACAGTGCTAATTAGTGTTGCTGACAACTCATGATACCAAAGGTACGTTGCGGCAAGTCTTTTGGGTAGGTAAGTTCCCTCACCCGTACTGGGGATGAGACTGAGGGAGAGGGTCGTAATTAAGAATCGAATTCGTTAAATTGGGGAGATACTGCGATTAACAACGAGGTCCGATTAATCGAGCTGGCCTTTCTAAATGATCTTGTAATGCTCTTACTTTGAAGAGCATTAAACGGTGATTCCAAATCTGCTTTCATTATCTACCGAGCGCCTCGGCATGCCGAGTTATGAATATTTTCTTGGTAGAAAAATGAACGCATAATTTAGGTAAAACCACGTAATCTAAGGTCAAATTTTAAGGTCTTTCCAGCCCTCGAATGCAGTATTGAGTGTGAGTGTTTTAGACAGAAGTATTGTTCAAATGGAGTGCTATAGTTAACACTGGACTATATTCTGACGAATTCTGTTCCAATTACGGTCAATTTTCCAACTCAAAAAATGCTCAGAGATCGACGTCCAAAAGCGATTGGCAGTCAACGAAGGTGGACTTAAAATCAGCGTTCGATGCTCTTTAAAGTCGTATCAATTTCATGTAAAAAGCCCACTTCGACCTCCCTTGTAAGATCAAGAAAAAAAATTCTAATCCAGTGGATATCGTAGCTCACCAGTACTGAAGGAATGACGGTCATAAATAGCATACTAGTGAATTCCACTATTGAAGTTCCAGCCAAAATTCAAGTCTTCATCTTCTACCTTGCATATCATAATGTCACCAAGGAAGCTTACTGCGTGAAATGAACATTATTTCCGAATCAGCATGTCAAATTACCTCTATAAGCTCTAAGCCATTACCTACTGTATTTTCTACTGTCTCTCAATGTTAAAAAGGTCTGATTTTCAAGCATAATTAATTTGATTTCGAAAGTGAAAAAATCGGCCTGTTTCATACTCATAACAAAGTGATGTTCTTTACAGGTCTATGCTAGCAATCAGGCTTCATATCGCTGTAAAAAGTGCTACCAAAATCCAACCGGCGCGTTTTTCACCTTGAGTGCTTCAACTCCACGGATTAGCACAAGGCCGAAGTCGAAGAAGCTCAAACTTTACTGTAGAATCTTCGAGGGTCGTGCTAACAAATCACATAAAACTTGGGTAGAAAAGCTTTTTCGGAAGTGGAGTTAGGGTCAGGCAACCCTTCAAAAGGTCAGGCTGCCTGAGCTTTTGTAGCCTTGTGCCTGACCCCTTAACTTGCCTTCAATATTCAAAAATCGCTCCTTTTCTGGTATGATTATCGAGCTTCAATTGGGAAGAATTTAGTACATTCCCCGAGAATTTCCTCCGAGGGGTTATTGAAGGCGCAGATTATCAAAATGTGATTTATTTTAGTTTTTGGCAATATGCGGTAAGGTTACAGCTTACTAATCATCCTGTAAGAACCCTACATCATAGATTTTTAAGAAAAATCGTATTTTGGAGTTATTTCACGTGCTGATCGCGATTATAGTGTCCACTTTGTTCACTACTGTCCCACAGTGGGGTTATGGTAGCAGTACGGTAGAATTTTCGTAAAAATCAAAAAACTGATGTAAGAAGCGGTATTAGAACCTGAAACTATCATTTTTGTAATCAGCATGCTACAAAACCTGTACTTGTGAAATTTGAGCTTCCTGGGATGAACAATGTAAAAAGTCAATTAAATTAATAAAGCGATAATTTCCTGCTGTATCAGTCTCTTACCCCCTCGTATTTCTCGTGCATATTATTTAAATTTCAGAAACAGCAACATTTTGCGAAGAATTTGAAGTTGCCGTAACATTACATTACAGTATCCCGAGCCCGGACCACACCCTGGCTGCAGCTTTGCCCACTTGTCCCCAATCATGTGCCAGAACTTCGTAGAATTCCATTGTAAACTGGCAAAGCTAGAGCTTCAGGAATCTTACGATCCACCCGTGGGTCGTATTGTCGTGAATGGTTAATTTGCTTAATATGATGAAAGCCTTACTGCTAGACCCACTATTTGCTACACTATTTGCTAGGCGAATTTTTGCGGGGGTTGACACACCTCCGAATATTCGCTGGAGCTATCTGTGGCATCGTCATATTTTGCATAAAATGGTATCGCTTGTGTCGGTATAGCTAACACATCACCTTTTTTCACCTTGAATTCGAACTCACTCTCATTTTTCCCTGAAAAACGTTGGATTTGAAATTCAATGCTTCACGCGTATAACGCACTCCCAATCATAGTTTTCTTCTCATGTCGCTGTTCTCCTTTGTCAGCCTTCGCATTCTTCTTTGGTCGTTCTTCTTTCTTAACAGTTTTTGCCTTCTTCTTGTCTGATGTATTCTTGCTCGGCATAGCTGAAGAACGCGAATTTGAAAATGAGTCCTCTCTGAATGCTATGATTTTTCCACTGTTATCGTTAGAGAAATTGATATTCTATCGCAAAGATAAAACGGTTGATCTAATTGATAACATAATTTCAAAATTGCATGTTTAGAGGTTATTGCTTTCATTTGCGAGTTACAAGCGCAGTAGAGAAGGAACGTGGTAGATTGGGAAATTTAAGTACTGAAAAGAAACTCTAGACACACATTCTGAAAAGGGCACATATTTTGGAAAGCTTTAAAAATGCGAATGAGATTTGAAGGCAGAGAAACTCGTACAAATTGTCGTGGAGATCTTTTGGAAAAGCGAGACGAAGTAAGTAAATAGTTACCTGAAAATCTGAAATCATTACCCGCGACACTGGACTATTAACATAAAAATTGAGGAGAGTACTGACAAAGTGGCAGATGGATTCACTTCTAGGATTCCTGGCGTTACACCCACAATTCGATTTAAGAATAAATAATTCTTTCAACATTAGCATCTATTGACCTTCTTATGAACAAAATCATCGCTTGAAAATGTGAGCGATTTATTGGTGCGGGGTTATGGATGTAAATTACGAGAGCTTCTTCTTTCGAATGATATGTTGAGTTTTTTCGTTATGGATCGCGCAAATGATGTGCTGATGATAACGCACTTATTTTTCTAGAGTGAATTGAGGCCGTCTGAGAGTATAGTGATTTGAAAGCTAGCGGCTCTACTCTGACGCAGATTTCGTCAGACACTTCCGGCCTTCACCGCATACGTACAGTATAACTGCCTTATCTGCTCATCTCTATGATTGCATGAGAATGTCGAGAGTACAAATATCAATGACCAACAGTTCACTTATCCAAGATATTTCGTCAGATGGCAGCGATCCAATACCGGGGTTTGGAATGTTGCCAAACCGTCTCATGCCACCCACGGTGAACAGTGCGCGGTAGACTAAAGGTGGCGCAATATTACGGGCCGTGGGAGGTCACGCGCTTGACCTCAGCGCTGCAGAAATTTCGCAATCTGCAAAGCTTGACCCGTAACTGCAGACTGTCCACGAAACGGCAAGATTATCTATGAAATGTGTCACACAACTTGTTAGCTGCAGAAGTGTTCCGAGTTGCGAACAGCGACAAGATCTCGCGTTTTTTGCAGCCCAAGGTGGTGGCCACCGTAGCTGTGTGTGCATGACACAAGGCACGTCCTTCTGAAGAGAGAGATACTTATCTCGCCTGGTACCGTGTCAGCCAGACGCGCTTTGTGAGAGTATATTTCTGTTTTGCCGCTGAGTTCATTCGAATTACGAACGAGCGCCCAAGTACTCTCAGGTGAAGACCGGATCTTTATCAATAGCAAAACATGCGTTGACCTTCTGCCCAACACAACAACACCGAAGTGCGTAATTTGCGCAAGTTCGCGATGATTTGAGTGCTTTTCTAGATGTTTTGCGCGCAAAATGATGAACTCATTGAGTGACAATGACAATGAACTTTTCAAATTTTACGGAAATAGGCCTTATTTTTGGTAAATTAAGCGCTTTATATAAGCTTTTGAGAAGATGACCAGTGTACAGTATGCGCCATTTCCCGGAGAATTCTGATATGAAGAAACTACTACGTTCGCCAGAGAGTTTTACACTATTCCAATATTTCATAACTCAACAAAATTCTTCATTTTATAACCATCTCAGAAGAAAATCGTACGCTAGCGGAGCCTCATTGAAAATTATTGCCGACATATCACGGCCCTATCAAATATCAAAATGTATATCAATCAAAATGGTAAAGAAAAACACTTAATTGTGACTTCTTTTTTCCAAATAGGATAGCAAAAGCTGGAAAGTCCAATAAAATTTGTTATGGCGATCATATTAAGAAATTTCCATGATGATCGTATGTTTCTACGGAGAGCTAGTTACACAAATACTTCGTTTAATTTATGTTATATGTTACTGACTTGATCACCCAGAATTCTGAAAAGTTCTTCTGAAAAATTAGGACTTTTCTACAAAGTTGTTGATTGTGATTTCATCTGCATTATATTAGTGTGCCAGCGTTGATTTTCGAGCACTATCAAAACGTATGATTTTGTCACTTCACAAATTACCAAATCCTGCAAATATTTGACACAATAAAAGAGAAATTATTTTTTAAAAATTTTGGCGCAGTCGAATCCTTCACATAGGCTTTTCCGAACTTTAGAGTATTCAAATCCGTGTGGTAGATTAAGCGGTTGACTTTACACAAACATCATCTAGAATTTAGAATTGCTACATGTGATGCAATCGCTGCCTAATTGCGGGTGCTAGGATCAAAAACTGTTACGTAACGGATAGAAATAGTTTTACCATTGTACTTTAGTTGCAGAAAATATCTTGTACTTCTTGCTTGCACTTTTCATAATCACTGATCAACTGACAACAAATAGGCGGTGCGTTCATTTGGTCTTGTTGTAGATGCAATTTAAGAGGAGAGACATCTGGGAGACAATGAGAGCTCTCTACTAAGTTGGAACATGAGTCCTGATCATCATTTCGCCTTCCTTTGGAAGAATTCTAGAAACCTGGCGAAGTCTTAACTTTGGGGTTAACAGGGAAAGGAACCATTGCGTTTAAAAGCGCAATTTTGTAACGCACTTCAAGCTCCATTTCTTCACTTATCGAACGAAAAATTTTTATCCTCTTTTCCATATTTTTGATTTTTTATAGATTTCTGAACAGCTTTGATAGCAGGCAGCTTGGGAGCCTAAACACTTGAAAAATTTTACAATTCGAAAAGCTACGACTCTCTACTTGCTTTGCAAAATGAGGAAACCTTTTTAAGAGAAGATAATAAGATTTTTCTTTGAATCTGACAAAAGTTATGCACAAAGAGTAGGACTAATGAAATTGCCTTGAGTTTTGTTATTTTGGATATTTTCGAAGGCTGAATAGGTTCTTATACTTCAATGTGAGCACCATCAATTCAGCAGCGATTACCCTCGGCCTCCAGGGAGCCGTTCCTTAATTCCGCCTCATCCAATTATATGATCCCGGCTTAAATAGCAACTCCTCATCGTCAGAGTGAGAGTGACGTCGAGTCCAAAGTGCCTGATGCGATCGCGCAAGAATTTATTCTCTTAATAGCACGAGGGTCGTTTGCCGTTTCATAATAGTTCGGGGGCGATTCGTCATCAACAAAATCGGTTGTAACATTGTCTGCGTGATTGAGAGAGAGAAAAACGTTTTGATGAGATGAAGAATTGCGAAGTAAACAAAGGAAACTTAGTGGCTATTTATGGCATTGAACGCCCGAATGCGCAAAAACTCAGCTTGCAAAGTAAGTTCCTGCTCTTTACGGTACTCCAAGAAAGCGCTGCGGTGCTGACAATGTAATCTTAAACTAAGAATAAGCTTATGGATCATTTTCGCACTATTGCTAATTCTTTCCATGACAATTTCCTCCTGTAGCTTGAAAGTGATTCACCTCAGAGGAAAGAGCATGAAGCAAAGAACTGCGCTTACTCGTTCAATCCCTAAGTGTTATCCTAATTGAATAAACCCCTAAAGAGAGGTAGCAGCCAGACAAGGAGTTTTTTCCGGCTTTTTGCAGAACTGAATCCAGACATGCACATAGCATTCTGTGCTAATTAGTTTATTGTCTTCAAAGCCCCTTTAGTCACAGGTTTTTTTTGCATAGTCGTCGTTCTATTTACATATATCGTAGAGTTATTCATAACTTTTTGTGCGTACTGCACACCATGCGCCCAACTTCACGACTTATAGGGTTAGAAATTTGCGGTTTCTAGAAAATTTGCCTTTTTGCTTCTCTGTTTTTGTTTGACTGGATATTTATTAGGTAGTAGTACAATTTCCACAGTTTGTCCCACTAGAAAAAGTTTTGAGGAGTTACTGCTGCGGTGTCGTCGCTTCCCGCGCGGTGTGTGCAGTCTCACATACTAAGTTACAAATGACTCGCATAAACCTCTGTTCATGATGGTCTTTATAAACTTCTACAATTTCTTCAAATATGTTTATCCTTTTTATTCAAAAATACATAGGGAAAATTTGAAGTTCTTGTAAATCACATGAGATCAATGACGTTATAGTGAGCAGAACATGGTGAAAGAGTGGAGATGACAAGAGTACCGTTGGATCAACGGTTTTCGACAACGGGGTCCAGTTTGGAATTCAGGTACACATTTTCACACAATCTACAACTATCACGAAGTACAAGTAAAGCGCAACAAACAGACAATAATACGGATATGTTTCAATCCACACCTAAATATTATATCCTCGCACGTGTGCCACATAAACAAGACCGTAACTAGCCCTAAGACAATCTAAAAAGGCACGTTAGAGATCTGGTAAATTGCACTACGGGCAAGAAAGACTTCCTAGATCGAAACCACGAATCGTTACTCTCTGACGAAACAGTATTTAAACACTGGGGTTCTAGACGTGTTCAGGCATCGGGATCATAAAATATCATGAGAAACTCTCGTGGATTGCTGGCAGTATGCCAGACGTGATGAGACGAGGGAAAGAAGGGAACTGGTGCAACGGCGACACGGGGACGACCTTGATTGGGTCGCGGGGTCACCCTGTCTCGGCTCCAGAACATTCTCTTTTTTCTGGTGATGATGGCGGTGCTGGTGGTGATAGTGGTGGTGATGGTGTTCGCCTTTCAGAGTCGGAAGTTTTCGAGGAATTTCTTCACATTTTGGATTCGATTCGTTTTCAGGTAAGTCTTGTCGCCTCGGTGGTGGTTGTGGTGATGATGGTGGTGCGAGGCATGCTTGTGCCGGGGTTCCATCACTCTGTCGATGACCACACCGGCGGTGTCGTCTTCGAACATACGGTAGTCGAAATCTTGATCTGAAAATTTAGAAAATCAGTGGGTGGGACCATAAGGGGTAGAAGGGACCACAAACCTTTGTATTGCGGTCTGCAAATAGCGGAGACGCACAGGAGGGCAAGCACGAAGAAAAGCGATAGTTGGCTCATAGTATATCTGAAAGAGACAGCATTAAACTATAGTCTTTGCAAAGGATTTCGCAATCAGGACGAGGTATAGGCTAAACTTCCAAGGAGTCAAGAGCTTGTCAGGACATTGTCAGGACAATGCCAGAGCAAAGTCAAGCCACCAGCCGAAGTACCGACCGGTTGCTACCAGATGAGAAAGCGAAATTACAAGCATGTTTGGCTGGGGGCCGACTTGCGCAACGACTCCGCCCAAAGGGCCACGCCCCTTCGTGTGTTTCCAGGAGAGATAGGAGGAGACAAAGAGAAAAAGATAAAGAGATGATGATGAGGTTCTAATCACCTGTCAAGATGAGGTCTATTTTTTTTATTTATTTTTAACAAATTAGCAAGGAAGTGGAGTCAAAAATTTGGTGTTTAATGTATACCCAAGGCGTACATTCCTAAAAAACTGCAGATTAGAAATACACAGCTAAAGATTTCTCTTATATGATTTTCAAGAACATTTTTCACATTTATCATGCCACATGCGGATAATTGAAGGTATAGCAAGCACGACGATTGCACCCTAGAAGTTACTCCGTCATATAGAGGAAAAATCAAAGTTCATCGCAATTGGAAGATTGCTATATGTTTCGTATATGTGATTTGCAGATGCTTTCGTCAAGAATTAGACTCACAAAAGCTGCTTAACTAAAATCAAATAATAGCACTCTTAACGTACATTAAACATCAAATCTTGAAGTATCAAGAGCAGGAGCAAGTATTGGATATGGAAAGAGCAGCAAAAATTATATAGTTCAATAGAAGTTGCGAATATTCTGGTCAATTAGCGGTTGATTTATGCTCAATAAAATTGCTTAGCCCTTATTAGATTCTGTATATAGGCCACTTATAAAAGTTCATAAAATTGTGACCTTTAGTGAAGTACTCCACTTCCATACCATTGAACCTTGACCAGAAAGTACAGGCGGAAAACAAAGAGAGGAAATTAGAAGTTTCTGCAAATTTTGATCTAATTTTACTAAGTGATACCTAGCACTTTACGAACTTCAGGAACTATGAACTTGAGTACGTAAACTTCACAAGTGCTCTTTCACCTTCTAATTGAGTTGATTCAAGATCGGGGCCATAATTGCAAAGGGTTAAATTCTAGAAATGATTATTCCTATTCACTGTCGAAAGGAAGGCGTCCATAGATCAATAGGACAAAACCTAAAATTATGAAGGGATAACTAAATACTTCCACTCTTTCTGTGAATGTCATGGTTCCCCCCCCCCTTATAAAAATAGAAATAATGGGTGCTACCTTTGCTCGAACACGTTCCACCAATTACTTGATCATTTGAAATTACTAGATTGCAATGCTAATTATCTCTCGCTCATAGTTACAGTGCAGAAGAAGTCTAAATGAAAAGCGCACATCCATTATGGCAGATTTGCATTTGAAATTAGAAAGTTGAACAAAAGACAGAGATAATGTGAAGTAATGAGATATAATAAATTCGCTCGTTCCAACAAAATGCATGAGCATCAATGCGGGGTTCGGGGCAGCTGCTACTCGTTTTCATGAGCTTCTTATCAGCTTTCACAGTAAAACGGATGAGGAATGGCATTTGGGCAGAAGTAATCGGGGATGAAGTAAAAGGATGAACTCAGCTTATGTGTTTCTGCAAAAGAATTGCTTCGTAAAGGCCCTTCAACCAAAGAATGGACTATGTCTAGGTGGAAAGGTCTAGAGGTTTGCATAGGAGGGTAGTCTAGAGCTTAGACCCGCGGAACAGGCGGAAGGAACTACAAGGCGCTAAATTTAGGCGCAAGCGCTTATCAGACGAGGTAAATAAGGCCAACAATAGATCACGCAGCCTCTTCGAACGGGAGATGATCTTTTTCCGGACCTACGGGACGGGGAGACCCCGTCGATGGAAGGCACGAAGGTCGATGAGTTTGTAGCGCCCAACGCAAGGTGACACGCACTGAATGAGGTGCACGACGATACGTCGAGACCAACTGGTACCGACTACGACCCGACGGACGTATAGAGCAGGAATGTACGAGTGCTAGAGCGGAACGTCTATCGGGTGTGGATCGGGTGGGTCGGGCTGGGTTCGTTGGTCGGTTGAGCCCCGGCCTGTAGTCTCTGTCTGCTGACGTATCGCTTTATAGTGGTGGCGCGTGGGCGGGGGCGGATAAGGCCACCCCCGGCTCTCCTTGTACATTAACCTGTTCCCCAGAAATAGAAAGACTTCTTAGTCATTCGAGATAACCTTGAAGTTTACTCGGATGTTGTTACGCTCTTTGACTTTCGAAAACATCGAAACTTTAGCGATTTGGAAATGGAGTAACCAAGAATTCGGGCGCAGTTCCCATAGTTTGGATGTGTTTAGGAGGTCCGCATGGAAGTACAGAGGTATAATCAGCCTATGCTATTGAGCTTCACTAATGGATGCCCTCAGCAACAAAAGAACTCTAGCTATTGTGGGAGGAGGTCGAGGAAGTGAAGTAGATTATAAAATTTAATATAGTTCCTGCTGGCAAACGCGGGGGCACGGGTATTTCTAGAGTTCATGCAAGCGCAAGATTATGTGCAACCCCAAATGTCATGCAAGCTTTTTACATTATTGCTACACTATTTTTTTATATAGTTCTGGACTGGGCTTGAGATGACGTAGTGATTTTTTGTTAAAGTTGTGTTTGATGTATGACTAACACTTTGGCGTTTTTGATTTGGAACGCCTCCAGCGTATGTATGAAGAAATGAAAAAAATGAAAAAAGTGCTGATTTTATAACTAAGGTGTGATTGAAGCTTGGCCCCTTTCCACCGTAAAAGAATGCATCGTCATTGTTGGAGAGATTATAAAAGCCCATCAAAGCTATTCCTCAAGAGTTTGGTATGGGTAAAAAAGAAAACTATCCACTTTTCATAAAAATCTTGAAAATGCAAATTGGCTTTGCTGTTGCTTCACATTTGAAAATTCAACCAGTAATGGGTAGAGGACCAAGCCATAAATTCTTCAAACGTTCTCTATTTGACCAAGGTTTACTCGAGGTTTAGAACATACATCCATTACTTCACAAAGTAAAAAACAATCCAACCTCAGTATAACGAAGGTTTTTTTGCCTAATCGCCCCTTTTCCTTTTCGCTTTTGTTGTCAAATGGATGAAAGATTAATAGACAGTTAATTTAATTAAATCTATTTCTTCTATTCATGCAATCACCTTTTCTTTGCCTGAAGTTTTTGCACAATTGCAGAAGTATAAACTCGTTTGATACATCTAACGGCTTCTAATCCTAGAACCGAAGTCATTAGTATAGTTTTTAGCCACTCCTACGAATAGCTTCATAGTGTTTGAAGACTTTCCTCTGGAACCCCTTAGACTATGGTTTCATCTTATGACGACACTTTGCAATCTAGCAGGTGCGTTCCTCATTATTAATGGAAGTAATTGCTGAAGTCCCTGAGTAATTGCTGTTCTGACATAGGCACGATCATGATATTAATTGCAAAATTAGCAACTTGCTTGAATTAGTCATTTTTTCATGGAAAAAGTAAGGTAGATCAAAATCGCGTGGGGGGGGGGGGAGAGAGTGGAAACACAGAAAACACAAAAAGAATGAGAACTTGCCTTCATTTGAAAGCCATCTAATCCAGGAAATGGAGTTCTGCACGCTTAGACTTGTCTTAAATACTCTGTTGATATTGTTCCAGATTGTGTTCGTCTTTACTGTAAACATCTTTTTGTGCATTCACGTAAAAAGCTGTCTTATCTGATTTCACTCTTCAGAGAGCGTTTTCTTTTTTCTGCGTAAAAGGAACTATTGTAGAGATGCCTTCTGCGTTTTTTTTGTATTACAAAAACTCAGAGAACTTATTTTAGCCAAAAGTAGCTGATAATCTGATAAATTGCGTTGTCCTTCACGATTCTCATGACTAAGAAACATCGGTTGTTTTTGCGATTTGTTGCTTACGACTGATAGAGTAAGTGGATCGTTTGGTGTTCCAGAAATTAGCACTCCGAATGTTGTTTTCAGGTTATCTGTCACAGCCAATTTCAGTATTTCAGTTGAGTTGACCTGGTCATCTATTAAGTTGACATATAAGTCTTCCAATAATACCAAATTGTATTAAGAATTTTAAATATTCAAAGTATGTTGATTACTTCCTGGCATGTATCGAAAGTTTTATCCTTCGTAAGATTTTTTTGAACGAGCGTAAAAAGTTAACAAGAAAAATTCAAAAATAACTTCTCGTGGAAACACCTGATAAGCACAAACTTCCCACAGGAAGAAAAAAACTCTCATAAAACCAAAAAAAACTAAAATGAAAATTCAGTAGAAGTTCCAGTATTTTAGCGAGCAACATTCAAAATACTATTTTTTGAGAGTTCTTCTATATCAGCTTGTTCGCGACATGGCAATAATATATCATACTTCAAGATATTCAATACTGCAATATTTTTTTATTCAAAGCGTGTCAAAGTCAAAGATTTCATTGAAGTTTCGAATTATGAATTTTCCAACTTTTTGGTGCACGACTTAAATAAACCTAATATTTGGCAGTTCATGCGTCTGGTGCCCCTACCGTATCCCAAAAAATCCCATTCCTGTCAGGTTTCATGCGCGAGAAAGGCTAAAGATGGCTAGCAATAAGCATAGAAAACCCATCACCGTCTCGTCAGACCGTTTCTTAATTTCGATTTCGGTAGCGGCACGAGGGAGACATAAGCGATCACATGTAGCCCCCCCCCCCCCACTCTCCGACCACCTTGATCTCTGGGTTTCCATATTCGGCCGCGCGGTTACGGTATGTCCTTTGATAAACACTCTCACATGATTTACTCTCGAAATACCTCTCGGGAAAAAGTTGCGATTCCCGGGACCTTGATCACTGATACTGACACTGATACTGATACTGTAGTGGATAATGATCAGTAAATATTATCGCCGTGGCATCGTCTCGGAGATTTGAGTCGAGGCCGGGAGTAGCCGTTCGGTGGTTGTGGAAGTCAACGAACAGTCATTAAACATCA